AGGTGAAAGATGCCGCAGATAGGGCGGATATGATTACTGAAGCATACAAGAGCTTGAGGGAGAACAGAGTGAGAAGTGAGGCGAGATGCAGCAATGGCAGATCCAATGGAGTCTGGGGAGGAAGAAATTATGAGAAACCCAGAAGAGTCTGGGGTGAGAAAAATTTTGATAAATGGGCAGATAAAAGTAAGTACCCTAAAGCTCAGAAGAGTAGGTCGCGCACTTCATCTGAAAGTGAAGATGGAGGAGCTAAACGAGAAACTGATCGGTATCCGGGAAATCAAGAGTCCAGTAAAGCTCCACAGAGTACGAGTAGTACGTCTGGCCCGAGGAACTCCAATACGAGTGGGCAGAGTCAGAGCCGCTTTGGTACATATAGAAGAGACTTTTCCCAGATGAGATGTTACAATTGTAACGGATTGGGTCACGTGATGCGAGATTGTCGGCAGGGCAAGAGAGTTGTGACCCTGGCCATGTGTGACCCCCGAGGTAAATATACTAATGTGTTCCAAGACAAACCACAGAGAGCGAACTTAGTGAACGAGAGGTATAGGCCGTTCATGAGCAAAGGTTGGATCAGAATAGGAGGCCAACCTGAGGTAGAAGTTGGTATCTTAAGAGATACCGGAGCTAATCAGAGCTTGATTACGAGAAGCCTGATTGGGAATGGTCGACGGTTAGCTGGCAGTGGGAAGATGAAAGTATATGGGTTATTGTCTGAGAGTGACATGCCCGTTTGTACTGTCCAGCTAAGGTCGGAATATGTGTCGGCAGAGGTGATGTTGGGAGTGTGCCCCGACATACCTGTTCCAGGAGTCCAAGTGATCCTGGGGAATGACTTGTGTGGGACAAAGGTGTTGACAAGAGTCATAGCGGAGACTGTGCCAGAGGAGTGCCCAGAAGGCCATGGCATGGGTGGGACACCTGAGAGTGTGAACCTGACTGACATCCGAGGGGATGAGTCAGGAGACCGCCAAGCCATTGAGTACCCTGTCTCGGTAGTGATGAAGGCAGAGGTAGCCGACGAGGGAGACGCCGGAGAAGATGAGACAGTGTCGATTCAGCCGGTGGAAAATATCGACGTAGATATAGCGTGGCTGTTTGATGAAGGTCCAGCCCAGGAGAATGAAGTCTCGGTGAGGTCGAAAGTGAAGATGACCCAGCCGAAGAAGAATCATGTGAAGAGAGCGGACCTGAGTAGAGCCCAGACTGCTGAAATTAAGAGTCGGAAGGTGAATGCAACTGTGCTGAGTAGGAATGAGGAAGGATGTGGACATACAGAGGACGAGAGTAGAGCGTCAAGTTGTCCACGAGCACAGAGGCATTTGGGTAGTAGAGTTAAGTTGTTTGAGATGTCAGGAGTTGACATGTTTCACAGAAAACGTGAAGAAAAGATAGTGAAGAAGAGTAGTAACCGAGAAAGTGAAAGGAGAAGAGACAGTATGTGTGGAGAGATGTTTGCGAGCACTTTGGGAGAGGCAAAGCGACATGTATGGTCGAGTGCTGTTGGATGTAATACAGTGCCCGAAGAAACTTTTAGGGAACGAAGAAGAGTTGAAGGAGAAGAAATGGAGTTGCATAGAGGTGAAAAGTGGGGGAAGAGGAAGATGATACAAGCATGGAGGAATAGAAGAAAGCCGAGGACTCGGTGGGAGTCGAACAGGATGATGTCTTGGATAAATGAGGAGACGCAAGGGAGGATAGTTGGTGAAGACGAGGGAGTGAAGTATGATGACAGGAGGCGAAAGTATAATGGCAGTAGATGGAAGTATGAAGACGACAGAGGAGGTACAGACAGTAGATGTCTGACTCTGGACGTGAAGAGAGGAAGACGAGGAAACGGAGGGTGGAGACAATAAGTAGAGTGGAACGATGGAGTGCAGGCGTCCAAGGAGGACAGCCTAGCCAAGAGGTGCCAGAGAGGTCAAATCGTTTATGAGAAGATCATGTTTCTGGCGAGTTGTGAGCCAGATGTTGCAAAGAGCAACGAACTAATTGTAGACTCTTAAGGGAGTACGTAAGCAAATCAACCGTTCGAACCAATCGGTTGAAGAACGAGACAGCGTGGTGGCGGATGTATTATCCCGAGCTTTGCCACTGGAATAACTCTCAAAATAAGGGGAGGGGAGTGTTATGATCTCAGCCTACAGGAGAAACGAGTCTCCCTCCTTGAGAGTTATTCGTCAAGCCTGACCTGACTAGAAGGTCTAGCAAGTATTGAGGTGATAACGCATATGTAAAATAGTTGGTTGGGTATGTGTAACAGTTTGAGATTATGGGCAATGCAGAAGAAAATAGATAAATGACTGGCTAGGAGATGTGGACATTTTGCTGGAGGCTTGAGGCTCGCTTCCGGAGGACCTTGACCTCACTTGAGTGCCAGACATCGCAGGGGGAAGCCGCGCTTCGTTGAGCTCCCGTCAGAAGGGAACCCCTAGTGATATATCTCTAAGAGAAGAGAAGTGTGCAGACGTGCCAGCTGTGGAATCGAGCTGGGGACGTGTGGTCTCAAGTCGTGGACGATAATTAGTGAATATTAAGCCGCCCGGAGGCATTATTGTGGGCTGTGTGGAGCGCCCTGACCAGACGCCGTCAGAGGGAAAGCGCCCTCGACCAATTAATCTGTGGTAAGCACGATAAACGCCAGTTCATAGTGATTGTTTGTAGTTGGTCGTGTGCCCAGCGACAGTAGCGATGTTTATTTATAAGTTAGACATGTTTTAATAAGGCAGAAGGCCTGAAATAGGAGAGTGAAGAGGGAGGAACACGGAGCGACGTCCGTCCTCTCTGAGCGCTGGCGGACGACTGAGGGAGCCGGCTCCGGATGGAGGAAGACCCTCCCAGCGAGTGAGGACGCCGCCGCCAGGCGAGGTGGAGTATGGACCCGCCCAAAACGGGGGAGTCCACTCTCACTGTATGTAGAGGACAGATAGAGGTTTGAGGCAAGCATATTGTGTGGTTATTTTTGTTTATGTGTTAAAGGGGAACGTTTTATTGGAGTGTCGATGGGTTGCAGGTTTGTCTTTTGGGGAAGAAGTTGCTGAGAACTTCGAAGCCAGCAGATGAAGTAGCTGATGAGACTCCAAGGTAGTGGAGCAGAGGACCTCGAGCTGTGAGGAGAAGCAGCAGTGAAGAGGAGTGTCACGTGCTTCTGTAGAGGTGGTGAAGCACCATAGTTACTCGAGGAAACTTCATGGTGTAGCAGCCAAGAGAGCTGTGGAGGAGCCTAGCAGAAGGGTGAAGCACCGTAGTTGCTCAAGGAAACTTCATGATAGCAGCCTGGAGGAGCTGCAGAGGATCCTGGTAGTGAAGCCCGGAAGAACCTAAAGAAATAGGGTAGTGAACTTCCAGAGGTGGAAGGGGAAGTTCTGGTGGATTACTAGTAGGGAGTTGATAGTGTTTGGTTGTCATTAGCGTGCAAGACGCAGTGAGAGGTGAGTGACTGTTGGCATTCTTATGTCAAGGAATTTTTTATACTGAAGTATCAATGAACATTTATACTGGTATATGTTATTGCATTCAAATGCTGATTTTCTATATATATATGTTATCTTGCTGATGGTGCAACAGTGTGTAGGCTTGACCAACTTGAGGAAGTTAATAGTATCAGGTGGTGAACCAGGAGGTAGGATACCACTTGATAAGCTGATAATAGAGTTCTGATGGTATTGGAGTGCAACCTGATTGTGATATTATAGAGTATAGGATTCATTATTATTATATGTGTGTATGTATCGTGTATGTGCTTTCTTCAGTAAATGTGTCACAATTTGCTGGTGTTTGCCCTTGTCCTAGTGAGGCTTCCCAGGAGGTAGTAAAGAAGGAGAGAGAGAGAGGAAGAACCATGAACCACTGCTGTGAACAGGGTAAGAGGTAATACTAGTAAGTCATAGGGGATTGAGGAGATCATATCTCATAAGGAGAGAGTGGGGAGTCACAGCGGCTCGAGTGGGTGTGTGCACGTGACAACGAGGCTAAGTGTTGGAGCCGCATCCCCTGAACGTGTGACGTTGAGCCCCTCTCCAAGAGCCAGAAGCGCCAAGGGTGATCTCCTTATTATATAAGCACTCTGCCGAGTTGTGGGTTGGGTTGTCCATAGAGAAGGATCAACGACGACAACACCAACCAACCCACAGTCTATATAACAGTGGCCAGTTAATGAGTGAGTTAAGGGGCGAGTTAATGAGTGAATCGAGAGGCGAACCAAGGGATGAGTTAGGAGGCGACCCAAGGGGTGAGTTAGGAGGCGAACCAAGGGGTGAGTTAGGAGGCGAACCAAGGGGTGAGTTAGGAGGCGAACCAAGGGATGAGTTAGGAGGCGAACCAAAGGATGAGTTAGGATGCGAACCAAGGGACGAGTTAGGAGGCAAACCAAGGGATGAGTTAGGAGGCGAACCAAGGGATGCGTTAGGGGACGAACCAAGGAATGAGTTAGGAGGCGAACCAAGGGATGAGTTAAGAGGCGAACCAAGGGATGAGTTAGGAGGCAAACCAAGGGATGAGTTAGGAGGCGAACCAAAGGATGAGTTAGGAGGCGAACCAAGGGATGAGTTAGGAGGCAAACCAAGGGATGAGTTAGGAGGCGAACCAAGGGATGAGTTAGGAGGCGAACCAAGGGATGAGTTAGGTGAACCAAGGGATGAGTTAGGAGGCAAACCAAGGGATGAGTTAGGGGGCGAACCAAGGGATGAGTTAGGAGGCGAACCAAGGGATGACTTAGGGGGCGAACCAAGGGATGAGTTAGGAGGCGAACCAAGGGATGAGTTAGGAGGTGAACCAAGGGATGACTTAGGGGGCGGACCAAGGGATGAGTTAGGAGGCAAATCAAGGGGTGAGTTAGGTGATCCAAAGAGTGAGTTAGGAGGCGAACCAAGGGATGAGTTAGAAGGCGAATCAAGGGGTGAGTTAGGAGGACGAAAGGAGCGGTGAGTAAAGTGGTGGATTTAAGGCCTTGCACCCGTCAAGGCCAGAGAGGGAGGGTGGGAGCCGCAGTACTCTAGTGACTACTGGTGCAGGCGGCGACCACCACGGCCTCTCCCTGTAGTGTTGTAGCGGCCTCCTGTCTCTCCTCACACCTGTCTTAAGACTGTAGACAGTCGCCAGTGTGAGTAACTGGTCGGTGGAGGGTGTTAAAGCTGTTGTGTGTGTCGGGTGGATGAGGTGAGCAACAGTCAGGTGGTGGTGACTGTTGACAGCCAGCCCAGCTGATGACATCTCCGTACGTGTATAATCCACTCGGTAACGTTGGTCATAACTGTGAATTAGTGAGAGTTACTGTTCCAGCAGGCAGGAGTGGCGTGTGGTAGTGGAGACGGGTGTACAGGACGGGGTGTACAGGGCCTGGACGGGGTGTACAGGATCTGGACGGGTGCACAGGACCCGGGACCGGTCACATAGCTACAGTTTTTCTCAGTGTTCGTTCCATTCACAATAGTGTTTCGTCCATAGGAAGTCTTTCGTACATACCTGTATTAATTTGTGTTGGCTCCTGTTCTCTTCTAAGACAACAGAGTTTCTTAAATCACTATAATTTATACTGATAGTAAGATAATGGGAATCATCATATCGCGTATTTTACCAGAATTTACTTGAGGGCCACTAACACTCGTGGCCTTTAACGACTACTTTGGGTTAAAACCAAAGCTGGGAACATTTATTTATTTATTTATTTATTTATTTATTTATTTATTTATTTATTTATTTATTTATTTATTTATATATTTATATATAATGAAATACCATCTATGATATATAAGAGTGCTGCCCCTGTTCTTGCACGACCCATAGCTCTGCTGTTCAACAAATCTCTGTGTCATACTTTTCCTGATAGCCTTAAAAAAAAGCAAGAGTGACACTAGTTCATAAAGGAGGTGAGACAGCTGACATAAACAATTATAAACCAATATCAAATCTACTTATACTTTCAAAGATATTTGAAAAAAATATTTATAAACAGCTCTATTCTTACTTTGTAAAACTCAACATATTCAGTCTCTGCCAGTTTGGCTTCCATTCCCCAAAAAATACTAATGTTGCCATTATTAGTCTGCTTAATATAATCTACTCAGCCCTTGACAAAAATGAGTTCCCAATTGACCTCTTCATTGACCTGAGGAAGGCCTTGATACTGTAAGCCATAACTACCTCTTACTTAAACTTCACCACTATTGTATCCAAGGCCTTGCTCTGGACTATATTCATTTCTATCTCGGTGACAGACACCAATATGCAGCCATCAATAGCATAACATCCTCACTCTACCATTGACAATAGGGGGTGCCACATCTTGGGACTTCTCCTATTTCATACTGTATATACATAAATGATTTGCCAAATGTTTCTAACATTCTTAAACTTCTACTATTTGCTGACGATACAACCTTCATCTATTCTGACTCCAACCCACATATACTGTACTAAATAATATTGTCAACAATGAATTAAAAAAAGCCCATTCATGGATGTCAACAAACAAACTCACACTAAACATAGAAAAGATCTACTGCATTTTATTTGGTAGTAAATCATTAAATCGAATTCGACTTCAGATAGACAGTGTTAACATTAGTAATAAAAATGAGGGAATGTTCCTTGGCCTATACATAAATAAGAGACTGAACTGCAGCACCCACATACAACACATCGCCAAAGAAGTCTCAAAAACGTACAGTTTATATGCATGTTAGGCTTCTATGGACCCCTTCCCCCAGGTAGAATTACTGACCCTCCCCAGGATACAACCCCACAACAAGCTGCCTAACTCCTTGGGTAGCTACTTATTGCTAGATGCACATTATGTGCATCATAATGTCCATCTTTACAGATGCATTAGCTGATAGGAAACTTGCCCAACCATTTCTGTCCTGCCCGGGACTCGAACCCGGAATTCTTGATTGTGAGTCAAAAACGTACCTGACTTATATATATATATATATATATATATATATATATATATATATATATATATATATATATATATATTATTTTATTTTATTTATTTTTATTTATTTATTTATTTATTTATTTATTTATATATATTTATTTATATATTTTCATGCACTTTTAAATGGTGCATCATTTCCACCTTTTGTGTGTTTGTCATTTATAACAGTGACATTTCAATGCATTGAAAGTTCTGTATGATATACAATACTGTGTATTTATCCTCTTCTCAGAACAGGCAGCAGAAAGCAAGAATAGATTGGTCATCATCACTGCAACATTTAAATTCTTGCCACATGGATCAGCCACCAAAGTACAAGCCGGTGAGTAGCTTAGGATAGAGGGACAATAACTATTGTGTACTGTAATTGTTCAAGAATCATTTATTGTACAGTACTGATTGATTGTTGCCTTTGGTTTTCTAACAGTGATGTTCTATTTTTAAGGAGGATTGTATTTGTTTGGCATTGGTAGTATTAGTACTGTCAGCATTGCTTATACTCGCCTGCTAGTACCTATTGGTGGTTACAAATCAAAGATTGTGAGATTGAGTTTTGCCTCCTGGTCTCTTATCCCTGCCATGCTTATTGCATTATTTGATGTTCAGGTTCCATGTCATATTTTTTTCTTGAAGCACTGTTAGAAACTTCTTTCTATGCCTTCCGTTTTCTGATCACATATACAAGATACTGTAATTTCTTGACTTGCTGATGTCCTCTTCTGCTTCCTTTCAATTTAAATACACTGTTCTTTGGAGCTGTAGTAATGTCAGTTTTAACCAATACTGCCTTATTACACTGATAAAAATTCTTTGATACTATTGTATAAAAAGATTGATGTCAATACTGTATTTAATACTTTTGTTAGATGCTAGAGCATATTAAAACAGTGCTTCTCATGATCTTGAAGTTAATAAGAAGTGACATAGTAAATTAGTAATGAATAAAGAAAGGGCTCCATGCTGGCTCTGCATATGCCAAAATTGGTATGGTGTGTATATGGTTCATATGATGCTAAATGACTCAAAATTCATGTTTCTAAAGACTGTTTTTATTTTGGCTAACCCTGCATGTGCATGATGTCCTTTTGATGTGGGCTTTGAGGGAAAGCTGGCCAACTGTTGCCAGCACTGAGCTCCATTAGTTTGCAAATGTTTGAGTGAAACTCTACCTGCCACTGTTTTGGCCATGTTTTCAGTTTGTCCAGGTCATCCTGTGGAGCAGCATGGGTTGGATATTTGCTTTAATTGCTATAACATAAGGCAAGAGCTAAGAATTAAGGAAACTGCATAAGGCCTATAGGGCCAATATGAAGCGGCTCCTATTTACCAGGTAGGCAGCTTGGGGAGCCACAGAGGGACTACCAGAAAGGGGTTTCATTATATGCAATACTGTACAGGGATTTATTGGGGTTCAACTTTTGGGGAGCTAAAAGTCCCTAGGTTTTGTATTCATTCTCCCTTCCTGTTTTTATAATAATAATTAATGATAATAACTTTATTAAAAATATACAGCACAGCATGATAGTGGTTGCTTATTTATTATTGCATAAAGATTTAATAAAGATTTAATTTAATAAATTAAATGCACATTTAATGAAGCCACTAGTACACAGAGAGTTTTGGGCTTACTTCAAGATAATTCAGTTAAATTGTTGATGAGTTTAATTGAGTAAACATTTAATACTAAAGAACAAGTAAGCTAACATACATGACTTGTTCAAGAAATTTAGTAGGATGATGTACAATATTTAGGTGAGACTCATGAAAGGCTTTTACTGTGTGATTCAGTATTTAGAATTTACAATAGATGCAAAACACACAAATGTCGTATTTTGTCATCTTTCAAATGTCATATGGAGAAATGCGAGTGAAATTTGTTAAATGAGGTACGATATTTCTTGCTATTCTTCCAAACTGGTTGAGAAGTTGAGCTTCTCTTATTTGAGATCGTTTGCATAGCATTTCTGCTTTTGAACCTTAGGTGGGATGTAGGCTATATGGCTCTTCCTTCTTTTCCTCCTGTGTCAGGGAAAGGTATTTAGTGTTTTAATAGCTTGTTTGAGGAGGGTCAAGGATGCCATCTTCCCTTTTGTGGCCTTGCACCATCTTGGCCAGAGTTTTTTTTTTTTTTTTTGTGGAGGCTTATTTTATTTTTCCTCCCAGTCCGTATTTGCTCACTTCCTCCTCTGGCACTATCATTGAAGTACATTTCTGGAATTGACTTGATTCTAGCAGTACATTAGTTGAGCATTCTATGATGTTTTGCATGAAGATGCATCTTTATCTCGTTTTGTTGGGGGGTTTCTGTCCCTGAGGTAGTGTATTTTACTGTCTAGAAGTTTGCCGGGCTGCATGCCCGGGAGGTAAGATAAAAGGACATCAGTGGAATATACAGGTGGTCATTTCCAGGCATTTCCATCCACATATTTAAGAAAAAATGTGATGAACTTGATTGGCATACCAGGTATAGATGACGAGGAGGCAGTGCATAAAAGATGGATTTCACTCCTCCATAGACACCAAGAGGTAGGCATACAACCCATCCACTGATACAGCCAATTCCCCCCACCTCCCATCCCCACATTCACAACCACCACCCACACTCATTTTCAGTCGTTGCCTTTTTCCATTCTGTATTGTATATCCATATTGTATAGTACATGTACAGAGTGAGGTAAATAGACTAGTGTTATGAATATTTTTTAATGTTTGAATAATAATAATATGCTTGATTTAAGGGACTTGGGATATCTTCCACGTACCACTGAAAAACATGTCCAGTATTGTACAGTACATTTGTATTTTCAGGATCTTTATCCAAACATTGGGGCTCCATCAGCACCACCAGCAGATCCTTGTAATCTGCAAACTACTGATGAAAAGAGGCCTTTAAATTCATTTGAAGACTATAATCACCCACAAGAAGCTGGGTTATACAATCCACCATATCCTGAACCTCCACCACCATACTCACCTCCAGGTGGTGGATATAATCAGCCACCCACTGCTGGCTCGTATGCTCAGCCACCTGCCTCGTATGCTCAGCCACCTGCCTCGTATCCTCAGCCACCTGCCTCGTATGCTCAGCCTCCTCCAGCTTCAGTAATCCACACTCAACAGCCTGGAGTTGTTATAGCTACTCAGCAAGCTCCCCCTGCGACTGCAGCGTGTATCCAACCAACACAAGTTGTTGTGGTAGGAGGTCTAACCCCAGGCACTTGTAGTGTGTGTAGGGTAAGTACAGTATGACTTAACATGTATCCTTCAATAATTTGTGTTCTCTGGGAACTATCCTTGGCACCATAATCTATTCCAGACTTTCCAGTTATAGCATTAAGAGTACAGTTTCTAGGAGCAGCCTCTTGTGGCTCCCTCAAGCTATTAGTGATTCAGTGCCATACTACTAGGTGCCATCAGTCATGAAGTTCTTATTGGCCTACCAAGGACCACGAGCCAGGACCTGGTCCCCCCCTCAGAGAGGCTCAGGGAGCAGTGGCATTATGAACATCTTACATTTAAAGTTATTCATGTCATGTTATTCCCTGCCACCACCAGTGCAAGCACCCAGAAAGTCGGCAAAATTCAACTGGCTACTGCATGATTAGAGAGATATTGCAGCCTCAAAACTGCAAAAAAGAACTACCCCAATAATGGAAACAAACTACCAAAATTTTGTGAAACTAAATTCACAAAGTTTTTGTCAAACATAATTTGGATAAGTGAGCTTACAGTACTTTATTGTAATTCACCTTGGTAGCCAACTGTCTTTTAGTGGAGAACAAAGCTAACCCAGACAATCTATCCTCGCTCATTGTATAATGAAGGTAGGACTCTGTGTTTCAACCGTCTAAAGGATTGTTGTGCAACTGTGCTGGTTATTGGTAAGGTCAGAAAAATGTGTTACAATGTGGACAGGCTAGAATAAATGGAACACATGTCATTAGTGATCATGAATGTAAGTACATTATTGATGGTCAGTTTCTCTATTCTTTATTTTGCCACATTACTAGTGCTTGTTATTTCTTTGTATGTCTTTGAATGAAAGAAACTTCTACAATTTCAGTTTGGCTGTCAATGACATCTGAGTACGTGTCTGCTAAAAATTCTAATTTGTTCACATTATGTGCATAGTCAAAAATGCTTTGGATCAGAGCACTAAACTTGGAAGCCAAATTTTTTAAATGCTCGTCTTTTTATCTGTGCTAATTATAATAAAATCTAAGAACACTGAATGGGATTCGACCATGAATTTCTTTCAAGCATCAAATATTCCTTCATTCTCTCCAATTTCATCATGGAATCCTTTTCTTTTATGTTCTCCATGTTGCTTGTATTACATATTAATATCACATTTTCAAGCTAACTTGGTTATTTCATTTTTGAATTCGTTTGATTTCAGTTTCATTCTCATAGGCCGTTCATCAGCTCCAGAATTGGCTGGTCAGGGAAGCTAGCTGTGGGCTGGGGCCAGGCCCCTTGGTGTTGTTGATCAGTATTAACGAGCTTTAAGCTTGTTTAAGTAAATTGCTTGTGCTGTGTAAATCATTTGCAGTCATTTAGCTGTTTCGAGGCTTTGTTTTCTGGGAACTTTCCTGTTGCCTGTAAAGCTGACTTTCTGAATTCTGAATTGTCACTTGCTCTCTGTGAGGATACCAAATTCTGGTTCTGGTTCCCAGTAGGCCAAGCACAACTCCAGCAACTGATGTGAATCTTTAAATGAGCAATCTTGCCATGATAGCTTCAGGGAGTTACCGGGGCTTTAACCGAACGTGACCTTTCATTACATTCAACACTAGGGTTTTTTCTTTGCCCCAATAGACCCAAGGATATGATGGGCCAAAATAAAAAATCTGCAGCATAAGGGCTAATGTTTCATAATGGGCCACCGTTATACAGCCCAACCATCCAATGATGCTATAATCAAACTGATGGATTTGAATAATAATTTGACCATTTCTTGTTTTTTAGCCTCTTTCTTAGTTTTAGGAAAGGATAACTGTGAACATACAAAATCTGTATTATAATCTAGTGGCAGATCATTTACTGTTGACCTCAGAATAAGACACAACTTCAAATACAGGTTCAACGAATTGTACTGAGGATTTCAAGAGATAACTTGCATACAAAAATTTAACTTCATGCTTAAATTTCCATGGATGCTCATGATCTTTGGTGTATAATAATATATATTGTACATGTTTAATAATATTTTTATTTCACTTGGCACACATAACTTGCTTAAGTGGCCAGCAACCTTTTCTAGTTTACTGTCATACAGTATTTACAATATCTAAGAAAGTTTCTTCATTGTTTTTTTTTTCAGAGAGGAAAAATAAAGAAGAGTCCATCTTGTTGTACATGGATCTGTTGCATATTGCTACTTCCCTGTTTTATCATCCCTGGCATCATTGCTTATTTTTGCTGCTGTCAGAAACCCAAGTGTACCCACTGTGGCTACTCTCCGTAATGCACCCATCTACTGTGGCTACTCTCCGTAATGCACCCATCTACTGTGGCTACTCTCCGTATTGAACCTACCCATTGTGGCTGCTCTACATATTAAACCCCATCCACTGTGGTTTCTCTCCGTAATGCACTCGCCTACTTTGGGTGCTGTGTATAGCATACCTTTTATTGTCTTTTTGTCAAGGAAACAGCACTTTTAAAAATGTCTCATTTGGTCTTTTTTTTTCTTAAATCGTTAGTTTCATTAATTTTGACAGATTAAAGTCCTCCTTGGCATTTGCTACTATAGTATTACAGTTATTACCAAATAAGAAATTTATTGCATTTAATAGTCGGTGTATATAATATACTTAGTACAATGTACCTATACACACACACATTCATATATACAGGTATATACAGTGTATAAATGGGTAAAGCATTCCGTGCATATTCTTACTTGAGATGTTCAGTGAGCAAGATAATGATGTAAAATAGTTGTGCAAAGTTGACATTTTGATCGTGGAATATGTATTGCCCAGATGAGTGTGAATATTTTTTATAAATATTTTAAATATTTTTAACTTGCAAAGACATTTGAAACAACTGAGTGATTCTGTGCACAGCCAGTGCCTCTGGGAAGTGAAGCTCTGAAGTGCAACAATATTAAAGATATGAATAGATAATAAGGAAGAGCATAAAGTGTTACTTTGTGCCTGAAGATTGATTTATCGGTACGTTCCAATTATGTAGTTGGGGTAGTGTGCGACACGAGTGTTTCATCCTCATATGTTCTTGAGTGAATGGGTAAGGGTTTGAAATACTATTTCAAAATATTGATGTATATTAAAATTTATTTTAATAAAATAAATATATATAATTAAAGCCATCAGGTTTTAAATTAGACACTGTATTGTGATTAATAGAAGTTAGTCAGCCTGTCGAAGCCTAGGACACAAGTGTGCACATCCTGCACAGTGTAAGGTACGGAAAGAATGTTTTACTGCATTTAATCTTGGATCTACATTTGTATTTTTTCTTTGTATTGCAAAAAAATTTTCACTTGTGGCAGTTATTCCGAACACACACATTCTAGTGTAAGACAAGATATAGAAATTTATTGAAATTTGACTGTGATATCTGCATTTTTTATTGTAATTGTACTCATACTCCTGGTGACTAATTAGTACAGTTGAGCACAAGAAAATGCATTCCATTTATTTATGTAGGACTCAAGTGATTCTTATTACATTACTTTTTATACATTGAAGTGCAATGTTGATGAAGCATGGTACCTAATTAGACAGTGTGTCGTTAGTGTAACTTTAAAAAAAAAAATTTTTATAACTTATAAGTAGATGAAGTTGTTTCATTCAATATTGACAGTCATTTTGAGATTTATTTGGTGTTGGATAATTAATTTTTTAAAATAAAAAATGTTGCATGATATATATTTTGTATTAATAACTTGTATACTGTATGTTTAAATAAAAATAGAAAGCATACAATTTATTAATTTCTTTGGAAAAGGAGGCACAGGTAGGATTTTCCTCAATTTACCATATGCTGTTATAGATGGCATTGTGAACTAGAAGGATCACTGAAAAAAATGTGGTTTTGAAATACTTTTAAGCTCTTATTTTTACCTGTTTGGAGTTTCGCTATTACAAACCAGGTTCATACTTATGTGGAGGGTGGCTAAATTTATAAGTGGAAACATGTAGACTTGAATTAAGAATTTTGTATGAATGTTAACACGAACAGCCAGGCTTGTTCACTTAGTACTCGGTAGGCTATGTTGAGTGTTTTTGGGCACATGTCAATCTTTCCCAGCGGCCTTGCAGTTGGGGAAATGGCGCTATGTACAATGGGGAAACAACTTTACCTGGGTTTTCTTGGTGTCACCCTGTGGCTCCCTGAGTATTGAACCAGAGCCAGAACCTGGCTCCCTCACAGAGGCACAGGGAGTTATAATCTGCCACCCCACTAGATAAAGCATTTACAAACAACTGAAACTGCAAAACATCCAAACTGCATTGTCCCACTTAGTCGTGCACACCTTGTGGATTGGCCCAATTTTCAGGACGATTGTATGTCTTGCTTTACTAACATCTGACGACAAAATCCTTGGTGAATCTGATGCCTTTAATATTACTCACCTTATATGTTTTTGTTCTCATATTGCCATCCTTAGTGATATTTAGCACCTTTTGGTATATCCAGCAACACTGGTGCTACATAATCTCCCTGGCTTGGTGCCTTCTTTTGATAATTACTTAAACCCTCCATCCATCAGCAACCCAGGTAACTCCACCCAACCAACAGGGTAAACATGCTCTGGTCTTGTTCAAATCACAAGTCTGTTGGTAACTAAGGACTTGAGAGCTCCCCTATTAACTGTCATCTTCCCAGAAGCACTTTCATAAAGATTCTAAACACCCCTCACCCACCCACTTCCGACACACCTAATTACTCGCTCCCACAAGTCAATTCACCCAACACCCTCTCATCCCCACCCATGATACTCTGCCATCTTCACCTTTGTATCAATTCCCACCCCCTCAACCACTACATGGTGGGTTCTTACATGTGAGACTGACTGCCTGGCAGACTTCAACCCTTACTGAGAATGCTTGTCTTCCTGCCTATGCCTACTATACAACAGCAATGGCAGGGAAATAGGTGAAGGAATAAACAAAGAATCATAAAGCCATTGGCTGTGGATGACAAGCATCAAGGAAATTAACACAATTAGTCTGCCACTGACTCAAACCACCACCATTTACATGAGAAATTACCTTGATCTATTAGAATATTGTGAGTCGAGAGAATTAGTTCTTTTTGAGAGTAATCACAGTACTGCTGACGGGTAGTGTGGGTCACAGCATGACACTAGTGGGTTATGTGCACATATTGATTGATTTATATGTAACCAGTGGATTGAGAGAGAAAAACTGGGACATGGGAGGATGATGAATCACAATAACGTGGCTGAAGATATATGATGACCAAACCACATATCAGAAGATGAAAAGACGACGACATTTCAGTCCATCCTGGACCATTATCAAGTCGCATGTCTTGTTAATGGTCCAGGACGGACCGAAACGTCGTCGTTTATTCATCTTCTGGTGTGGTTAGATCATCACGGGAGGCTGTTCGGTTGGACGAATGTTTGTATAATGGAGACTTCCTGTACTGCAGATGCTTCACATTGCTATGCTTGATTGTGCACAGAATTTAATTTATTCTGTAGAATATTTCTATGGTTTCAATTATTTATGGGGAAAAGGGTAAAATAATAACAGACATGGGAGTCTACTGTATTTCCTGACATGTATGAAGTCATGGACCTCGAATGTTGACATAGTACAGTATTCATGGGTGAAGTTCATGGCATCCATACTTTTCATTCCAGTAAGCTGTTGCAGATTAAAAACTTTACTGTGAAGTATTTTCCAAGCATAGATTATGGGACTCACTCACTCACTCTCTCATCCGTACTCCCAGACACAAAAGAGACTGAGATTCTCAGTGTTTTAGATTTTTTTTTTTTACATTTTAGTTTTTGCATTGTTAATCAGAAAGATCAGAAAGATTTTAAATATGACTTTCAAATTTACAAGATTTGTTTAAGTATAATAATATTAATATGCTGTAGTACAGAAAATTCAAAAATTCAAACTATCATGCATTCAAGGGTTTACCTTTGTCTTTCTCTACTAGGCTTAGTTTTGTTTTGTTAAACCATCAGCATGACCCCTTTGTCACATGGATATACTGTACATATATCTTTCCCACTTTGAAGCGGATAAAAATACATTTATTAAAATATATACATTAATTTAATTTGTACTAATGCAGACTAGTGTAAATATATTACTGTATTAGATTATTATTCTTATGAGGAAAGATGTGATAACATAAAACTAATAAAATTCCTCATTCTCCCAAGAGATAAGAGGATAAAAAGTAACAATTAATGTTCGATCACTGAACACCATTTCTGTCATCTGTTGCAATGCTATTTCTGCCAATGATGCAGTTTCGTACCGAACGTAAAAATTACCAGTCACTAGTTCCAAGTGGTAGCCGGTCACATCACCATATTTCTTACACAAGTTCAATAGCGATTTTTCAACATCTGTAAAAAAAAAATGTATACACTATTATTATTTTTTTGTGTGTGAAAATCAATTATAATTAACTTACCAGGACACAAGTTTTTGAAGGTATCTCTCAGGTTTTCTGTTTATTTAATATTTTCTTGGATAATTTGTTCTTTTCAGGGACTTTAATGCATTGCCTCTCCAAGGGAAGAAGAGAGTGGGGCAATGAATGAGAGAGACCAAGCAGACATCTGGAGAGAAACTAAAACCACAAGTAGGAAGGCATGAAGAGCCACAACCAGTGGAAACAACCTGCAAGCAACAACCATGGTTGCAATAGGAAATAAAGCAGAGGACTACAGAAACTCAGAAAAGGATCCAGGAGCACAAGTCATTTGAAGATAGAACCAATAGTTTATGTTGGAAGAGTGAACAAACAGGGATTGTAAATTCTTATACTGCAAGGCACAGACTTGCAAATAGGCCACTGCCTTTACTCCTTTGTATTTAAGTTTTTCTCTATATAGAAAGATGTCAGTTCTGTGTCCAACAGGCATAATGACTAGACAACAGGAATGACCATCAGTGTTTAACCCTTACACTGCTCCAATCACTTGAGAACAATTGGCCCATATGCTTCAATCGCCTGGAGATAATTTTATTCAGAAGCCCCAACAGCACATCAGTGATATCCATGTATATATTTGCATGCAAAATGCGTGCTATTTGCAATTATAAGATTTAGGTTTATAAATAATGAATACCATACCACTATTGATATATCAATTATCAATATAATCAATATATCAATAATCAATATATGAGCACAAAAAGACATTGAATATAATGAAATTTCACCTTCTGGGTGAGCCCTGGTGGCTCCCTGAAGCTATAATGCTGATACAGTGCCAAACTACAGTACTAGGTGCCATCAGTCGGTTCTTTTCGGCCTACTAAGGACCATGAGCCAGAACCTGGCCCCCCGATATAAAGAGGTGCAGAGAGCAGTGGCACTTTGATAAATTGTCAGTGAATTTTAATCATATCCACCACCACCGAGGAAGTACCCACAAAGTCTGCAAAACAAAACAGACCACTGCTGGTTATAAGGAATGATTGATGCTTCAAAATCGCCAAAAGAACTCCCCTAACAATGTAAACAAATTATCAAAAATTTTTGAAACTAGTACACTGTACAAGCTCATTCACCCCACCTCTTCCCCTTGTTTGGGGGAGGAGAAATGAAAAAAACTACAGTACTCCCGACTTCCTTGGGGAGGGAGGATGTCAGGGAGCCACTGCGGCTTACCCAGAAAGTGGCATTTCATTACATTTTCAATGCTGGTATTCTGGTGGGAGCCCCTTGTGGCTCCCTGAAGCTATCTACCCATGAGAAGGAAATAAAGAGGAAATACCCAGAAGGGAGCCACCAGTCTGCCTCTGGTCTGTGGTAGGCTTTTTTTGACTCACAAGGACCTTGGGGAGGGGGGGGAGCATGACAGTTTGGAAGCAAACCAGGCAACTAGCTTCAGGGAGCCACAGTGGGACAACCTTCCCGAAACTAATAACTTAACCCTGTTCCCATTTTTGTGTGGGAAATGGCCCACCGTGCATTGAAAATAAATTATCTGCCAGCTACTTACCTGCACAGTCAGAGGAACTAGCATCTGTCACATTGAGAATACGAAGTACAGCTGTTGGAAGGATCATGAGGTCACTGTATGATGGGCGACAGTGATACATCAACCATGGGTCACACAGTAAATCCCAAGCATTAGCTCTTTCCTCTGGAATTATCTGTAAGCATCTGTAAAATGGGTAACATTTTTAATTTAATCTTGTAATATGAAATACACCATCACCTTTACAGTGCTCAAACACAACATCCATAATAAACTTACCGGAAAATAAAATTTGCACCAATTACAAAATTCAGATTTGAATGTACTGTAATGAAATACTTGTTTCTGATTGATAACTCAATAGCCTTTATATTTTACAACCTGGACACCTCCAAGCCTTGGAAAAGACCCAAGAGATCTATGACCAACGAACGCCTACCAGAGACCGAGATCGGAATTTGGACCCTTCAAACAAGAGCTGCCATCTGGTGGTGAGGGAGCTATGCTAACTAGCAGTTGAATCTAGACAATGTGTGTGAACATAGTTTGAATCAGGGGTTACAAATGGTGTCCAAGCCGTTGGTTGTTTTGATGAGCTCTACCTTTCTGATGTGTTTTCTTTGGTAGCGTAGCGATCTTGTGTCCCCAGATTCTTCTATATCACTACTGAGGATAGGGGTCCGATTTGGTTAAAGTCTCAGGTAGGGACTCGTGATTCGTTAAGAGTTTGGAGTGATACCAAAGCTTTGGAGGGTTCTAGTTGGGTACTGAGGGAGTTCCTTCACAGAAAAGTTGCCACTTATTGAAGGAAAACAAGGGGTTGTCTGCCAACCAGGATGAACCGAGAACCTCATACTACAGCCTGGAAGCAAAAGAGAATCTGTACTCAAATGAGCCTCAGTCCAGTTCAGATACATGGTCACAGTATAGCAAAAATGAACCAAGCAAGTCTTACGGACCCACACTCATGAGTAAAGACAACAAAATTAATGGCAGTGTGGGTGTATCCAGGCTACAAACTGGGACACAAAAGCCTTAACCCATCATAAATGAAGAAGGGCCAGGGACAACCTAAATCCCCTTCAGAGCCCAGAGACCAAGAGGAAAGACAACTGACAACTGAACTCCCAGTCACATTTCTAAGAAACAAGAAAATCTCAAATCATTTTCACCAACCTCTTGTCTGTTGACACCTGCAGGCGTGAAGCCTAAAGCTGTTTAGGAGTCAAAGACAGTAGTAGAGACTGGGAAGTCGAGTAAACAGAAGTCGGACAAACCAGCCACTTGACAGATACTGTTGTACAAAAACAACACTTTAAGCGGACATGAAATAGACACCAGTGTTCAAGTTTAGAGTGAACTCAGATTCACTTCAGATAGATTGATTCACTAACTCAGTGTATCTAAATTTAGATTTAGATACACTGAGTTTATCTAAATCTTATATATTTGAAAAATATATAAGATTCTATATATATTTGAAAAAAATTGTACGTCAGAGTGTGGTAACGCAACACTGATGCAGCCTCAGACTGTTGTCCGAGAAGGTGGATTGGCCATGACCTAATTCTAGTGTTGACAAATGATACATACCCGAGGGTGAAAGACCTCTTAAATCCAACAGGGCGAATGGCAAAGGCAACAGTAATGGTCACCAGTATCAATAAACACTGGCTTGTATCCAGAAAAGTGCAAACTACAGTGCAGGTTAAGCATACGATGGGGACACCATAACTTCACCATGGACATTGATAAAGTAAAAAAACTCCACAGGGACATGGTACATAGGCAGGTGTGACAGGAATAAGTGATATATATCTTCAAATCAAACACCAAACAGCGACTGCAAAATGCACAGCAAGGGAAGGATATCAAGCAACCAATTACAACTATCATGTATGCGACCCAAGCAAACTTTCAGCTAAACTGCAAGGCTCCAGCATGCACAGGAAGCAGAGCCAAGCATAAGAGCTACACAAACACACACACAATTAATATCACTCCCCATCAAAAAGCCTCACAGTGGAGAACGAGTCCCATGTGCTACCTGGAAGTAAAATGTATTAAAAGGAGACAACCTGAAGAGAAAGAACCCAAACCAATCAACCCCTTCAGAGCAGGTATCTCTGGTTAGGCAAGAGAGACACAAGCTGACTGCTAGGAAAGGTAATTTTGGTCCAAAGCCAGAGCACATGTGCTGTTGGTGACATAAAGCACAACTGAGAAGTGTAAATGAAACAAAAGTTAAGGAATGGTTGCTAGCAAAACAGCCACTTTTAGAGATAACCAGCATCTCTTAGCTAAAGATGAAAAGCAGCAGGGAAGGCCAGTCAGTGTGATGCGCCTTAATGTACACCATGCAAGCGAACAAGGTGCATGGCTAAAGGCAACACAATTGGGGAGTTTTCACTCAGAAATAACTGTCTTGTTTGCATCAGGATTACTATTTTCTTGCAAGCAGCTGTTGTTTTGCTGTCCTTAACTTTTCTGGCCTTTTGATAAACTGTATTTGTAATCCCTTGGTTCTGGTCTTGGCTCACGATAGGTTGGGGAGGGGGGGTGTCAGAGGCCTGGTATGATCTCCTTAGGCTTAGTTATACTGTACCAGTACTTAGCTCAAGGAGCTACTGAGGAAGCCCGTCCATAAATATTTATTTTGTCTTAAGTTTCATCTTATAACAAATTTATTTAATGCTTTGGGAATTATACAGTATTTATGTATTCTTTATACAAAATGTGGGAATGTTTCAGAAAGTTTACACTGGGTCATTTTAAAATGTTTACATCCAACATTTATTAAGATAGAGCTTTGAAAGTGAGAGGCAATACAGCCAAGATAGGTAGCAATCCTAGTGCACGCCTTAAATCAGTCTGCATATAATACCTAAAATTAGACAATAATTTCCCCCAAATCATCCTTGCTCTACCCTACTGTCAAAAATTAAAAAATAAATGTCTGTAAGTGAAGCGTGGAATCACTTTATATTTTATGTAACCAACAGAATATTTTACTGCATTTCAATTTATTTCTCTAGATCTTTCAGATTACAGTATTTTGTAATAAGTTCTAATAAAGAACAGAAGTTACAGATGTCAATACCTGGTGATGAAGTTGTACGTCTCCTTTAGGAAGGTCAGTGGATAACTCTTGCATACAGTTGATAAGGCAGACTTTAATCTTCCATCAACATCCTCAAATTTCAATGAATCAGAAAATAACCGAATCCCGGTCAATGACTGCAAAATTAAGTTCAGTGCTGAATGTAATAAAAATGCCTCTTTCTGGAGGAATGGGTTTACCCTTGTGGCTGGAGGTTAGTCACAGCAAAAAAAAAAATGGTTTCAAATGATGTCAGTCATTAATTGAAATGGAATACTGTACTACAAAAGATATTTAAAACTTAATTTAATTCATGTACAACCTAGTAAAATACTGTATTAGATTAGAGAAACTGCTAAGTGATAAGCAAAACGTTTGCCAAATAACATGTGCAGATAATCCATTTCATGTAATGTGAAAAAAAAGAAGCAATGAAGATACAATAACACTCACAACAGAAAAAAATTAGCTTAAGTAGAAGTTGTATATATAAAAGGTGTTTGTAAATAAGTAAGAAATTGCAAAATGATGCTCACAGTTGCAGTACTGCAACCAATAAGGCTGCAAAAAGCTGTTCAACGCTAGATATTTGAATATAATTCAAAAAATTTCTTCAGGTTGACTCTTCCCTGACCCATGAATGTTAGGGATGGAGTGAATATATTGATGTCATCTGCATACTGTTCATACCTCAACAATGATACAGCCAGCACTCCAAATGTCTGCAGGTGGTCCTGGTCGCTTTACCTGCAATGTAGTTCCTATTGGATCTGATACTCTTCTATTCCACTTTACACATTCTGGAGCCTGGTAACCTGTTAGTTATATCAAAATATGAATAAATTACTGTCCTATAGTTAAATTGACCTATCTATGGGCTACTACCAGCCTTGCGAAACTCATTAGTTGGCAGAGTCAACACCACGAAACCCATAACTTAATTTTACAATTTTGCAGATTCAAGAGTTCTAAAATATTAGAAGCTCACTTCTATATAAACTCAGCAACCAGGTTTACAAATATAATAAAATTATGTACACTCAGTGTCAGGCCTCTGGCAGTGTATCCTTGTACAGATTGATAATGTAAATTACAGTCTGTTAAGACTAATTTCAGAAGCATTTAAGTCTAGTTAGTGGGAAAAATTGTGTCTAAAATGATAAAATGAAAAATTTGAAAATAGATATCATTAAGAATTTTTGAGTCATTCACATATTTACCTAAATGAAAACAAATAAGAAATGCTTTCTCTACAGCTTCTTACTAAAAACTTCAATAACTTTTCACATTCTCAATTTACACTTTTGCAGAAAATGTATACAGGACCCTATTCAGTAGGCTAATTGAGATTCAGACACATCCTGTGTCTGTGAATAAAAAAAAAATACTATGAATAAATACTGTGCATAAATAATGTAGAAATTTAGAATTGAATGTCATAAAATCTCTCATTCTGGTGGGCCACTTCAGTGGTTCTCTCTTCTACTGCCTGGGTAGCTTCAAAACCAAAGAGCGGGGCACACCCCAGTGACTGCCACACCAACTACAACCAAGCAAGGCATGCCCAGTCTGGGAAAAGCCTTCTGCAGAGCTTATTCTTACTCAAAGTGGTTGTAAGGCCCGTGAACAGGTGGTGAACCGAAAATGAATAAGAAGAAACATCAGAATACTTCACCTGGAGCTATTAAATGAAACATGTACCCAGTACCCCAAGAATGAGTCCCCATGATGAAATCCACTCATCCTCCTTTGACTGCACCCTTAAAGCTACTAGCACCTTTTTTGATTCACCCCCAAGGGGCACCCAAAGCCAGGGAAAGAGGAAAAGTAACTGATAGCCATCCAAAAGGGAACCAACTGACTAACTGCTCACAAGAATTTATATTATAAGGCTACAAAGAGACTAAAGAGTTTGTGAATACAGTACTCTGATGAGTGTATATGAACTAACATGGAGTAAGTGTGTGGGATGGTTTGCAAGCCTGGTAGATGTTATCATAGGATTAATAGAGTATCCCCTTCCAGCTAATAACACTGCTGGATATCACAGTACCTCCTAATGCTTTCTGGCAGGAGCTTCTTGTGGCTCCCTGAAGCTATCTTTCTGAGATTACTTCATACTAAAAGGTCACATAGCCACGGCTAGATCTGTTTAGCCTACAGGGGAATTATAGCCAGAACCTGGTCCTCCCTCACAGAGGAGCAGAGAGCAAATGACTGTCTGCCACCTAACCAGAAAAATCTTCCAGAAACTCAGCGCAGCTTTATAGACAACTGGAGGGTTCATAGTAAATTAAGCTTTTAGGGCTCACCATGAGCTGGTGTGACTGGAAGTACCACAAGTTGTTGTGGTGACACCAACATCAGGAACAGAACTGCTTTGGGGAGCCAGTTGGGAGCCAGGTCCAGGCTGCCAGGTGGTGATAATTGGTACTAATGAGTTTGGAGCTCATTTGAGTGAATCCCTTGTTCCATGTAACTTGTTTGTACAGTACAGTAATTGTTTGGCAATTTTTCGAGGCTTCATTTTCTGTGAACCCTCCAGTTGTCTGTAAAGCTGTACTGACTTTCTGGAGGCATTTCATGGCAAGGCGGTATATTGTCACCGGCTCTCTATGCATCTGTGAGGGATGGGGGTGTGCAGGTTCTGCCAATGGTTGTGGGTAGACTAAATAGAACTGGCTGCAGATTATGTGATCTTTTAGCAAGGAGCAATCTCAGGAAGATAGGTTCAGGGAGCCACTGGGGCTCCTCCAGAAATTGGTATTTCACAACATTCAATGCTGGGTTTTAATTTACTTCTGTTGTCATTCACAGCTGCAATATTATGCAATCTCAATGATCACATGCACACAGTAATGAGTGGTTTGCTTAATTTCTTTTGTACAGTATTATAGTGAGCAGTCTCTCAGTGGTGGAATGAATCAGAGGTTTCACTCTCTCCCTGCTTAAACTACATGACAAGACCGTTTGCAGAAATTAGTTGTCATGATGGGGCAAAAGGCAATTAAAACCTGGTGTTTGAGCAGTGCCCTAGGCAGCTCATGGCACTGGCTTGGGAAACACTAAGGAAGCCCATCTCAGAAAACAATTTACCGTAACAATAATCCCATCAAAAACATAAGGTATTTCAATTGGAGATAAATAATGACTTAATAATAAGTGATGACTTAAAAGAGATTTACTATTTATCAGCTTATTAAAGTTAAATAAAAATTATATTTACAATACACTACATTTAATAAAGAAAAACTGAATTTGAGAAGAGTCTGGGAGCCATAGAAGTCTATGACAATCAATGGATGGTCACCCTGTCAAACATACCTTTGCTTTGTACTGCATGAAGAAACTGTTCTGAAGTAGTAAAGCTCACTCCAAAGTCTACAAGTTTGAAGGTAGCAGTGCGAGCATCCCATAAGATGTTAGGTGGCTTTAGATCTGCATGAACAACACCATTATCATGCAGATGCTTCAGACCCCTGTGCATGGACAGCAATCATTTTAACTAGCCACGTGTACTTTGTCATGCTTACATTCTTTGTACAAATTAACAGACATAAATGAAATATATATGTGTGTGTTAACTTGCAGTGTAGATGAAATATTTCATGCAAATGAATTAGCCATGGCTTCTCAGCAGTGATAAATCAAACAATGAATATAATGAAACTTCCTTGCCTACAATAAGATAGGACCAGAATCACCTCTCATATGTTTCACCTCTGACCTCACCTTGTTACCAGTTTCTGTGTTACTCTTTTATGAACTGATAAACCATTTGTGACATTCATACCAAAATTTTGTTAAATTTTCACTTTAGTTTGTAGATAGTGTTCAACTACAAAAGTACAATACTGTACTGTAAGGAACTAGTTAAGTGTATATTTTGAAAATTCTGTTAGTTTGATGTCCAGAAAAAGTCTGAAACTAGAGAAATAATTTATAATATTTACTGTATATTGGCACCTTTACACAACACAAGCCTTACTCTAAGTCTTGTTTGGACAGCTGTGCATTTGTAGAACCTATGCTTTACTGGATACCTCTTCCTTTGTGCTGGCTACATTCTTTCCCAAATAAGATCAAATGATGAAACTTTAAAGGTAAGTGTTACTTTCAACTTACTTGAGGATGTGAGTAGTAAGTGTAATGACAAACCATGGGGAGCACGCGCCACCTTCCTGGCACAACAATATATCCCGTACAGTGAGGCTCAACAGCTCCTGCACCAGCACATCCCTTCCTTCCCACTCCAATTCTCCAATGTGTTTGACTGAAATAAATTCAGACATTATATTGAAATAACATCCCATCAGGTATTTCCTTGCAATACATTCCACTGAAATGATGGGACCTTACATGTACACTATGATCATTATATTATTGATTATACATTGTCATTGAATTCAGATGTTGTACCCTTGCCAGCTGTATGAGTGTTTGCATATGTGAGTGTAATGTCTGGTCATGTGCTGTTGTTCACATTAGAATATAACATGATATTGTGTGTGCCAGTGAAACAGCCTCGTTCTACACCCTTCCTCACAGAAGGTATCCAGCATCCATGGAGAATGACTATGATTACTCTCTGAAGCTAAGAGACTGGTGGTGTATATTTTCTCTGCTAGGAAGCCAGAAATTTACTGAAGGATGAGAGGCAGATAACAGCTTCAATGGCTTTCAACATAAATACAAAGAGGTCGGGCACCACTTTCATACTGTGCTTTACAGTATCAGTGTTTATTGATGCTATGTAGCATGCATAGCACACTGGTTAGGTGTGAAAAATAGCCACTAGTGGCTGAGAGTGAGGTGCATCTATATGTCTAGCCAAAAAGTTGTCACTTTGTATACAGAATTTGATTTTTTTTTCAATTTTATCAGGGTCTTATCCATTCCATGTGTGGAACAAGTACCATACCAGGTGAATATGAATTGTATACTCTGTAAAGTAAATTTTTAGGAAAACATTAAATAATGACAAATATCGAGACCTTTTTTTAACAGATGATATAAGGGCAAAGTGGAAAAATAAAAGAAAGTAACAGTACCAATCGGAGCCCCTGAGGCATTCAAGGTATGGAGGAAGAAGAGTTCACGCTGGAGTGCTCCTCTATATTGCTGATAGCGACGAAACACCTTCAATGCCACCGCCTCTCCAGTAACACAGTCTTCACCATCATAAACTTCACAACATCTGTTGGGTGAAATAAGTGATGGGTGATATAATATAAGTGTTGAACTTGGCATATTGCTTTAATAAAATAATTTATGTAATCAAAGAAGCCAAGCATTTTCACTCTAAACACTTTTCTTCACTCTTCACACTTTTCACTTTCGGGGTAAATCATGTCAAAATGAAGAATAAACATTATAAAATAGTACTGTATCTGGATTTTGCTTCACAAGCTATAAGTTATCAACAATAAGAGTTACAAAATCCATTTATACAGTAGTAGCTACTGCTTGGTATGATTATGAAATTCAGATAAAAATCCATACTTGTGTATTTGTGAAATTTATGTAAGGAATTTACACCAAGTCTTTTGAACTCTTCTGAGTGCTTGTCAAGGTCTGAGTGTGTGATTAGGATGAGACTTTCATCTCAACATCTAGTGATTAGACGTTGAGATGGAAGTCTCATCCTAACCACACACTCAGACCTTCACAAAGCACTCAGGAGAGTGCAAAACACTTGGTGTAAATTCCTTACATTAATTTCACAAATAGACAAGTGTGGGTTTTTATCCTATGTTATTATGTCTGCAAGAAGACATTACCATTACTTATTATGGAATTCATTGTAATTTTGCCACAGAGGGCTAGTTTATTAGGCAGCATCCCTCATCCTGTGAGTGAACATACTGCCATAGCATCATGTACAACAACCCCAGTTATAAAAAGAATACCCACAGAGCTGTTCATCCTGTCACTTGTACCCAAATGCAACAAAGACTTACCTAACTGACTCAAATAAACAGATTGTTAAACAAGGGATTAACATCTTACAACCCTCAAGTTAATGTTATTGTTGCTGACCCAAAGTGGAAAACCTTTAGAGAACAATATCTATATTTGATAAAATTTGCTTTCCATACTTAAACTTCAAAATGTGGGGTTTATTATATTGCACATATTTCTAATGTCTCTTAGATGGGCACAATCTCTCAGGTAGTGATCCAAATGTTGTCCTTCACACATGCCGCATAATCAACTTCTCTGCTCACCTGTTGTATCCATCCCATATCTCCATTGGTACTTAAACTACTTGTATCCAAGACGAATTCTTTCATGTAAGTTGTATAGTGTAACCACTATACAGCACCACAACATAGTATACTACCCTAAAAAACTGAACATAGTACAGTATAAGCTCACTATAGGGCCTCTCAGCATAGTGTAACCTCATTATAAACCAAGTTGAACAGTGTAGCCTTACTATAAGGCAACTTAGCACAGTATAAGCTCATTATAAGGCAACTCACCATAGTGTAACCTCATTATAAAGTACCTCAGCATTATATAACCTCACTATCACCTCAAAATAATATTACCTCACTATAAAAGTTTAACATGTTGAAAACCAGAAGTATAGTACCTGTATTGTCTTGGTTTCCAAAATAAAGCAACTTACTTGAATTTTTGGCCAAATCTGCTTGACACACATGAACAAATTTTCCTCTAGCATCCTGGGCTGTTGGAAGTGATTTATTTTAATAGACTGATATTTTTTTAAGAAAAAGAATGCATCAATTTTATATGAAAATAACATGATAACTATGAGCTAATTCTTGACAAATAAAAAGAGCGGTAAATGTAGTGAAATGTCTCTTTCAGGTGGGCCACTTAGTAGCTCCCTGAACTACAGCACTGGAGTTATCAAGGCTTAGATATCACACAAGGCCTCTGAAATCTACTAGGGAGCCTGGATCCATCATTTGTGGAGAGGGAGGGGGATGTACAATACTGTATGTGTTGACTACATAAGTTAGTACAACCTTAATTAAGATAATGAACATAAAATAATTCATGTACAGTATGATGTTCATACCTGCCAATTGCAATGCCATTCCGAACTCTAAATATACCAAATGGCGTCACCAACTGCTCTCCTGTTGGCAGTTCCTGAAACTGTAGCTCCTTAACCACACTCATTGTCCATACTGCCCTGAAAAAACATAAAATTAAATAATTAGATAAAATTCTAACTTTTGATCTAATAATACACTGTATTTGAATTTTAAATAAGAGGAAGATACTGTACCTATAGCAACATTAAACTTGCTAAACCACAATATTGAATAGACAACAGAAAATACTTCCAAAGAATTATAAACCTTTGGAATACAGTACTCAATGAAACTTCAGATCAAGACCAATACCTAATATCAAAATACACTTGGAAAGCATATCAAACAAAAATGCAAAGTCTTCATAATTCTCAGGTTTTCAGTCTTCAACAGGAACACTGGAGATGATGACTGTTAGGCAAATAGAATAAATGCCACAACCTGCTTCCCAGGTATAGTCCACCTTATAGGGTTTCCTCCTCTTAAGAGGCCTCACCCCCCGGGTGATGCATGAGCCGCTATTCTTCTGTGGGGCAAGGTGGTAGGGGTAGGTTGGACAGAAGTTAGCTTTTTATGGCAATGCACTGTTTGAGTATGTACGACTTCTGTTGGGTGGTTTATACTGTACTGTACCTCATTTCATCACATTTTCCCAGGTCAGTTAATTTTTGTACATTTGTCTGTGCAAAGCCACTTACATTTTAGCTCTAAGTCTTGGAACTAACATAGTTGGTACAGTTTACACACGAAATTTGTGAACAATCAATCCTAAACAAAATATTCAAACTAGGGACTGAGGTATACAATGAAAACTTGCAGTGATTTAGAAGTTAACAAAAGTACTGTACAGTCAATTTCCAATGGAGTACAGTAATTACTGTAATACTAATGGACATATTATAATTACCATGCAAGCAGTTAGCTAATTTGTTGCTAAAATTTAGGTAATTAACTAACTACATTTGGTCCTAGACAAAGGCAGTGATAATGAGACATTTGACTGATGAATGAGTTCTATTTTTAGATTTTACAATACTAGGTAAACAAGTAGCAGAAAGTCCTTGGGTAGATGTGAGTTAATAATGCATATGCATAGGATGAAGCTGCCAATATTTGTATACGTATCCAAAAATAAACATAAGTGAAAAATACTTATAACTTTTTTATATCCAGTTGTATTTGTCTTACAAGAATCATAAAATAATATTTTGATCATCACAACAAACATCTTTAAAATTAAGAATTTTGGTTTTTATTCCTTTCAAGCAGATGTAGGATTCCTAAATTTTAGAAGTTTAAGTTAAAGTTTAGCTGACAGACTAGTAGACACCTAGGAAGGGTAATACAAAGTGTAATATCATGTGCCAAGAAACTAGCATGGAAAATGATATTTGTATCTGGGAAACAAAATTAACAGGAAAATAGAGACAGGAAAATTAACTCTCTAAGTCACCCAGCATAAGCACCAGTCCAAAAATAATTACCATTTTACATTGCACAGAAAAATCAGATCTTGATGCTCACTGGCTCTCACATATGTATATGCAATGAACATAGAAGTGTCATGTGTCAATTTTAACAGGAGCAGAGACTTAACTTTAGGACACATCTAGATTGTGTCCTAAAGTTTAAGTCTCCAGCTAACATGATGGTAATTGAATATACTGTATAAATATATACAGTATACTGTATATAGTCCTGGGGACCATTCAGGCTTGTTTGCATATATATATGAGAGGATCTAGTATAGTGCCTTGTGGGGAGAGGTTATTGATGACAACGTATTGGTGTCTGTGGTTGCGACTGAATAAAATCGAGTAACAACTTTCCAAACTACCAAGTCAAAAAGTAGTTACTATTTTAACATGTTAACATATTGTACCTTTATAACCAAATATGAATTATATTCTATGTTAACATAGTCATGGAGAAGAGGTGCAAAAGTTCAGCAGGCACTCCACTTGCCAGGCAAGCAGGACGCTGTTGATATGGGATCACGACCACACAAGTGCCAAACGTGCCCCGGTGTTCCCTTGTAAGGTAAAACACAGTCTTGTGACTACAAACACGTTTCTTATCAACGTAACTACTGTCTCTTACGGCACATACACACAATGTTAGAATACAAGTTTGGGGGTTCCTTCGGGGAGGCGAGCAGCCAGGGCGGCCGGGGGCCCGGGTGGGGTCTCTTCTATTGGTAAACAAATCAGGGCCACTACATACCAAAATATTTTGTCTTTTCTGTATTCAATATTTAAATTTTTGCATATAAAATATTTTGTTATTAACTATTTATATTGAATAAAGATATCCTCAATATAATCAGTATGATAAACAAAAGATAACCATAAAACATATGTACGTAGCCCCCTTTAATTAAGGCACACGTTTTTCTCTTTACGGGATTTTATTTTATTAATAAGCTTAGGTATACACATCACTGTACTACTACCCTATTCTACATGAAAGATTACAGTGTAGATAAAAAAAACTAGCTATGAGTCCATCTAATATCTCTATCTCACATGATGGTTAGTCATGCAAAACGTTACATACTGTCCACTATATAACGCCGGTCGCTTTCACCCAACGGTCGTCGAGAGACTCAGAGACGCTTCAAGACTAAGTTACACGACCAAAAATCACATTCACTCCAAAAATATACCATCGGGTTATTCATGCCCGTGCTACCTCTCGTGGTTACCACAACTAGGTGAGCACGGTGTCCACGCGGCCTGACTGGCTACTGTAGCCTTCGGCGGCCGCTTAGCTATAGTACATTAATATAGTTACTACAACTAGGAAGAATTACATCACCCCTTACCCCCCCCCCAAAAAAAAGGATTCCAGGAGAATGGTGAGAGGGAAGTAATAAGGTTGGAGAGCACTCAACGTTAATTCACGTTGAATCGACGTCGAAATTGCCCAACACGTGTCCTCTGGGAAGTTGGTTCTGGGAGGGATGAGGTATGGGTAGTTAGCGGGAGGTTGGTGGGTCGGGTAGGTGGATGAGAAAGTTGGTGGGTGTGGGAGAGGGGTGGAATACGGTGATGTGTTAAAAAAAAAATTATGTGCCAGTTGTGTTATAATCGAGTCATTCTAACATAAGAATGATGGTAACTGCAGAAACCCTATTGGCCCATACGAGGCAGCTCCTGTTTATATCCACCCAATCTCATTCATATAAATGTCTAACCTACGCTTGAAACAATCAAAGGAGCCTACTTCTATTATGTGAACCAGTATTTACCCAGGTCTTTCCTAAATCTAAACTTATCCAATTTACACTCATTGTTTCGTGTTCTGTCTTGTGTTGATACTTTTACTACCCTAACGTCCGAATTCTTTGTCGAATTTGGCTTTAAATTTCTGGATGGAGTTCCACTTCCACAACTTCTTTCAGTACTTGTAGACCAAGCAAATGGTAGAGTGCTGAATAGGAATATGAATAACTATCCTGTGTAGGTGTAAGTTTCTATGTGGGGATAGGATTCTTTCTAGGATGGGGGTAGATAGAGGATATAGTGTCTGTGTTGGGGGGAGATGGGTGCTGCAACGTGGCCTAAGGAAGGAGATCCCCATGGCCCAGTGAGGTGAAAAGATGGGGGGGTGACACTAGGGGTAGGGAGGGAGGGGAGTGTTGTTGTGGTAGGAGTGGGAACTCCTGTTTGAGGGAGAATGGGGGGGTGTATGCAGGAGGGGCCTGAGGGAGCAGCAGCAGCAGCAGCAGCAGGAGGAGTGTGAGGTGGCAGGTGCCGGCCCCACCACACACCCCCGGCACCCACGGTGGACGCCGCCACCACCGCTCCCGTGCTAACATTCACTCATTTGGTGAGATGCCTCTTGTTATTTACCGAAATTGAACGTGTTGATGCACTCTAAATGTCTTTTTTACCGGCGCTTAGTGTAATTTTGACCATAAGTGGCATCTCGGTGTTTAGAAAACAGCTGTTGTAATGTCTTGTCATTCGGCCCACAAGCACATGCAGCCCCATGCCTGGTACTTCTGTGAGCCAAGGTGCCTGTGAGCCAAGGTGCCTGTGAGAGGTGGTGCCTGTGAGCCAAGGTGCCTGTGAGAGGTGGTGCCTGTGAGAGGTGGTGCCCGTGAGAAAAGGTGCCTCTGAGCCAAGGTGCCTGTGAGTCAAGGTGCCTGTGAGAGGTGGTGCCTGTGAGACAAGGTGCCCGTGAGACAAGGTGCCTGTGAGACAAGGTACTTGTGAGCCAAGGTACCTGTGAGCCAAGGTGCCTGTGAGTCAAGGTGCCTGTGAGAGGTGGTGCCTGTGAGACAAGGTGCCCGTGAGACAAGGTGCCTGTGAGACAAGGTGTGAGCCAAGGTGCCTGTGAGCCAAGGTGCCCCTGTTAAGTAGGCATGGTGCTTGTAATCACATTGGCTGATACATCAACAGTTAACTCAAAGCTGTTTGTTTTCCCATGTAGTGTCGCAGTCCTTCCCTGCAGTCCCCGTGGTGCAGTGGTAAAACGCTTGCTCGGCGCTTCACGAGTGCTTTGGCCTGGGTTCGTATCCTGGCCAGGGAGGATTGACTGGGCGCCAATCCTAAACTGTAGCCTATAGTCACCCAGCAGTCAATATAAGCTCTTGCGGCATAAACATTTTTGCTTGTTTCCTCTCATGTGAAGTCTCTTGTGAATTACCAATAAATTAGTAGTTACCACCTGGGAGTTAGGAGACTGTTGTGGGCTGCACACTAGGGATAGGCAGGTGGTGGCCTAGAATGACCTCAGTTTCCTGCCTTTGATAATAGGAAGCCATAATAGTAATTTACAGTTAGGTTCATTTTCAACTCGCAATTTGGAGTTCTGGGTTCAAATCCTGGGCTGGACAGAAATGGTTGGGCACGTTTCCTATCACCTAATGTGTCTGTTCACCTAGCAGTAGACAGGTCATCAGGGTCATGCATCCTGGGGAGGGTCAATAGTCAAGCCTAACATGCATATATATGCAGGCAGTCTGTCCCCCAACAAAATTAATTATTATTACAATATTAAATTATTATTACTTTTTATTACTCATTTACTGATTACTTTGAAGTGAATCAAGTTGATCCAACATTGAACGAGTGCCGTGTGATTACAGACTACCTACAGGACTTTCATTCTTATTTACCCAACCTTCGCTTTTTTAGCTTACTTTTTTCTAAATTGTTTTTTCCAGTTCTTGACAATTTTTATCATAGTGCTATAATGATTGCTGGTAAATATGAAGAGCATGCTTATTTCTTATTGGAAACAAATACAAAATGTGTACAAGGAACACCTGGTGAAACACCTGACGGAGTCTAGATGGCCGTACAGGTCACTGGGGCTATCCCCTGACTAGCCTTTACACCACGTGACCTGCTTGTGGTTAATTTAGGATACCAGGACAGTTTTCTTATCCATGCTAGAGACTGTGCTGCTTTAGCTTGCTTACCATCATCAATTGGTCCTTGAAAAGCACCTGCCCTTGTATAGGCAGCTTGAGTGCCTCCTGGGCTAGCTTAACTTTGTCTACAGGATTCTTTAACTTTGTTTAACTTTATCATTGTCCCTCTGAAATCATTAGCACTTGGCAGCTAGCCTGATTAGACTTGGCAATTAGCCTGACACCAACTCTGGTATTGCATGCTATGGACTACCCTATCCTTTAAGTCTTTCATACATTAGATGTTTATTCTAGGAGCAAAATTGGATGAATATAACCTAGAGTTTGAGTGGCTGAAGCATGAGTGGAAATCACTTTTAAACAATGAACCCATTGCACCCAATGTATCAAGTTTGTGTTAATATTGCCATATTTATAAAATTCTCAGTCTAAGGAAGTTTGCAGTACTGCAAAATTTGTTTTAATGACTCTTGACTATAATTTATATACAGTACTGTATAAAATTTTATTATTTCAGTTTTTCAAGAAACTGGTTTTCTTGGTCTTACAATTATGACTAGTCGAAGAAAAACAGCGGAGAAGAGTATTAATGATGAACATTATCATTTGCTTATGCATGACAGAACAGGTAAGAAAGATCAGTGTATTCTGTAAATATTTATGGTAATTTTATAATCAGAGTAAAAAATTTCTTTCGTCGTCCTTCTTTTAACATGGATAATTAATGTAAATTAATTTAATGGATGACAAGGAAGAATATAAATTACTTGCTGTATCTATAATGTATAAAGAATAAATTATAATTTTTATAATATATTACAGATGAGAAATTACATCATGAAGCAAAGGGAGAAGGATTAGGAAGTGACCGAGGAAATGTTATGTTGTTGCTTTTCTTGTATGTGCTTCAGGGCATACCTCTTGGCCTGGCAGGAAGTATTCCCATGATTCTACAGAACAGACATGTACCATATAAAGACCAGGTATTATGGCTTATTCTTAGTTTTTTTTTATACAGTATATTGGAACCTGTTATTTATAATTTACATATAGCTGGCCTGATCTACAGCATTGGCTATTGCTGGATATTTATGTGGATTGGCAGTGCCAAGTGTCAGCTCATCTGCTTGCAAATAGAGGTGACATCTCACTTGAAATGGGCAATCACAAGCAGCATTTGGCACAAGCTGTTGCTATTTATATTTGTAAATTGTATTCAATGCCGTGTAGAAAAGTTTGTGGGAAAATAAATGAACATAGAATTTACTTGGCCATACTTCTTTAATTTACTCAACTTAAGCACTTATTATAGAAAAAGTAAATGTACATAAGCACTTAAGAATAGAGGAATTACAGATGACCTATAGGTCCCTGCAAATCATTTCCTAATTATATCCAACTACAACCACTCGTGTTGTACAACTATAATATCAACTACAACCACCTAACCTTATCTGAAAATAATCCCATGTCAATTATGCATCTCTGTAACTAGTTCCATAAATTCAAAATGGTATTTTTGGATAGAGTACTTCCTCTTGTATGAAGTGTGATAGAGCATTAACATTGACTGAGCAGCCATTTGTGGTGTTACCGGTGGTTTTTCAGATGATAGAGTAATCCTTTTTTGTGTATTAGATGGTTTTGAATAGTCATTAGTAGACATCTGATCTATCAACCTCATTGCCAATGATCGAAAAGTTATCAGTGACACTAGTAAGAACCACAACCGCTGAAAATATAAATTTGTATGAACACGCTAAACTTTTAAACTAAACACCTGGAGAATATCACAGTTGGCTGCCTAATTCCTCTTTCTCTTTGCTGAATGACACAACTGTGGTGGATCTGAAGTGATGACAACTCCTGAGTTTTTCTGTTATCCTTTTTCACCAATAGCCCCAAGAGTGATCAATTTTATGTTTATGGGTTGACAGTGGTTCCCAGCTATGTTTGACAACTACCAACACTGTGACCACTGCCATAACCACCTACCATTACCACTACCTTTACTGTATTCATTATATTTCATGTACTCAAGGCTCTACTTTTTATTGAGACTTGACTGCTCAGGTATACCTCTCTTCATCTGATATAATGAAAACTGATCTAATTTCCTCATATTATAAAAAACACCAAGTTAAAGTTTGAGTTTTGTTAAAAAAAAACAGAAAAACTATTCTTTGTTAATTTAATTATGACAATTTGACATTATTTGTATTCTTATGTCCGTAGGCCACCTTCAGTCTATCGTTTTGGCCATTCAGCATCAAATTATTATGGGCACCTCTGGTAGACTCTGTTTACTTTAGAAAGATGGGGCGGCGTAAATCCTGGCTAGTACCAGCTCAGTACCTAATAGGTTTGTATAAATGGCTCTTGTACATTTTTCTGATAACTGGTACTGTACTTATTGTAGGGCATTGTGTGTCTATTCCTAATGTAATATAAATAACTGCTGTATGGAAAAGCTTTGTAATACAGTACTGTATGTAGATTACATAATGTAATACAGTATGTAGAAAATGGCAGTGTTGTAAGTGGAGTGGTGTAGAAAAGGGACATGGTGTGTGGTGTGGTGTAGTAAAGGGTAGTAGTGTAAGTGGAGTAGGTTAGAAAAATGCAGTGCTGTAAGCAGTGGTATAGAAAAGGGCAGTGTTGTAATTAGTGGTATGTAGAAAATGACATTGGTGTAAATGAAGGGCTCTAACTTAAAAAGAGCAGGAGCAACTGACAAGTTAAAGAAACATCAGTCAACCCATATTGAAGATGATATTTTGCTTTGTGAAGAGTTTCTGCAGGTCTGGCCTCTGGAGGCTTTAAAGTGAGCAAAGCATCGTCTGCAATACAAATTAATCCTTTGTAGGAAGAGTTGTTTGATCTCCATAGCTAGCTATATACTGTACTGTAGCTAGCTATGGAGGTTATATGTACTCTTAAGTTTTATGGACAAAAAATACCAGATAATTATATATAGTTGTCAAGAAAATAGTGATTGAAGTCATGAGTGATAGCATTATTCTCCAAGTAAAACTTAGCTTTAATTGTTAAGAGGGCATATAACATAGTTTGTAAAGGAATAATTAAAAGGTTTAATACTGCACACAGTTACTAGTAACATTGGGTGGAGATTTGCTGCCGAGTCCTCCATATTGTCTACTCATGAAAATCCTGGTGCCATTCGTAAGAGATGATATGATAGTATAGTTTGTGTCCTTATTTGCATATGATTTGAGAATTTGAAAATAATTTGAAAATGTACTGGTGCAAGATCTGAGCGGACTGGACTTTTCACAATGGATTATCCAAATTTTACTTTGTTGAATACTGTATTACTCCTTGGGTTTTGTTTGTTAGGAAATTTAGATATCCGTTTTCCTACTTGACTAGTAATTCCTTTTGCATGCATTTTGTGTTCAATAATGCCGTGGTCACATTTGTCAAAAGCTTTTGCAAAATCTGTGTATTTCATCGGTATTTTGCTTGTCTTCCATGGCATCGAAGACCATGTCATAGTGTTTATAAATTGAGAGGGGCAGGAGCATCTTACACTGAACCCATGTTGTTCAGGATATGTTTTGTGATCATACTTTTTAGTACTTTTTCAACAATTTTAATGATGTATGATGTTAGTGTTATTGGTGTGTAATTTTTTGCATCTGCTTTACTGCTTTTTTTTTTTTTGTAGAGGGGCATGATCTCCGTTGTTTTTAGTGCCAGGAATTATAGAAGTATCTAGGCTCTGTTAATGTTATTTTTTATACCTATCATGAGTATTTTCTACACTTCCAACCAGGTTTTTGTAAAGATAAGCTTCTAGAAATAGGTGAAGGAAGAGGGTGATTTTTTTAATACAATGGTGGCAGATGTGCAAATTAAAGGCTATAATGATATTACCAAATTACTGGTAGTACAGTTCTATATTATGAATTGGAAATATTTATATCCTTACCATAAATACTGGAACTGTATATGAATCTTTATAAGTTTACAACTTTATCCCAATTGAAAAACAGTGGCTTTCAGCCATTTTTGTACTTTATTTTTATTTACAGTGTCAGTGTCCTGTTTCCTGCAAGGTTTGCTATTTTGGCATTCCTTGTATACTAAAACTACAGTATTTTCTTAAATTCTTTTGTAATTATTTTGAAATATTGTAAACAAACTAAGTTTCAGTGATTGTAGTATAATCATTGTTGTTACAGGTGTGTTCATGCTGTTACTTTCACCAGCTGTCAACGAGCTTTTAGGAGTGGGTTCCGATCACCCTCCTAACGTGACCATCATCACATGTGTCTTCTTTGCTCTCAACTTTTTGGCTGCAACTCAAGACATTGCAGTGGATGGCTGGGCTCTCACTATTCTCTCCAGGTGATTATGGTTTGGTGGATGGTAAACCATGTTCTCTTTGGATGCCAGTTATTAACATATTTCCTGCATGCAAATAGTCATGTGAAGCTTTTCAGATAATTGGTGCTTAAAAAGTGTAAATATGTTGCTTGGTATGAGCTACTGGTTTGTTTCCCTAGTCAGCCCGCTTGAGACACCATGAGGATGTAGCTCCATAGTAATATCAGTTCTGATCAGTGGTTTAGCTCAACCCAAATTGGAAAATAAACCAGAGAGTTTAAGCTTTGGGTGTAGCTGGGCATATCACAGGTAGCTACTCAACCAGGTGTGCTGAATGGTCACCTGGTCCCAGCAGAAGGCTCCAAGCCTGACCTTTGTCGTACTAAACTAGACGAGATGTTGCAGTCCGCAGCACAATAAAATATGGCAATATGCATAAAATTTTTGTTGGACACCACATACATTTGTCTCTTTCACAGTAAAAACTGCAGTAAAAACTGCAGTAAAAACTCAACATATAATTAGCATGTTTGCACACTAACAACACATCGACAGCAGCGTCAGATCACTTCATACAACCAGGTGTAAAGTATTTTCAACAATGGCAAATTGGAAACAAATTACCATCTACGATACCAAATAACATGGTGGCAAAATTAATAACTGCTACCAGCTGATCAGGATACTGCATTACAAATCAGTGTAATATTTATAAATCTCATTGGTTTTTAGTTTGCTATATATTACTTTCTTTTAACACTTTTATCAGTTGAGTATGATTGCAGAATAAACCCATATCATTTCCACAGAAAACATGTTGGTTGGGCATCGACTTGCAACTCTGTCGGGCAAACTGCTGGTTACTTTCTAGGATATGTTGTATTTCTGGCTCTAGAATCGAAGGACTTTTGTGTAAACTACCTCGGTCAGGAAGACTCCTTAGTAACTCTTCCAGGTAAGTGAATGTTGGACAGTTTTTTTATGTTATTTAAAATATAATAAATAAAAGGAAGTCACACTTAGGTATTGCAGAAATAAGGAGCTCAGCTTTCTTTTAGTGGTTACACTTTTTTTTCAAATTATTATTTCTAAGCTATCTCACACTGTTCCTCCCTGTGGCAAGATCCCCCTAATCCCTGATTAAGATCTCAAAAAGTTAAACATTCTACACTAGTACAGTGAGAAATTTCTCAAACCATTTCTGCTGTATTGTGATGGTGCTAGGAAAACACTGGAGAATTCTCAATTCTGCCTGGAATGCAGCTTGAGTGTGAATTCCTTAAAAATTCAAAGCCTTGCCAAATGCTACTTAGCATCAACAAAAACTAGCAGGCAGTGCCATCATTATCTAATGACCTATTTGGTCACTGCCCTCAACTGGTGACAACCTGAACTCCACAGTTTCTTTACCCAGGCTCCTCACATTGTCTGAGATTGCCTCCCTGAGCTAGCTGCCTAGATCACTCCAAGCCAGTTATGCCTCACCAGGCTCTAGTGAGTCATAAGTGCCAACCAGAAACAGAATCTGGTCCTCTCATTAGAAGCAAAGAGTGTCTGAGAATGCTAGATCAACTCGAGCCAAGATAGAGTGCCCCAAAAGAGCAACTGCATGGAGAAACATTGGCAACTTGGTTAAATATGTATATACTTGTTAGCCAGTTACCACTGCTAGTTACACTCCCCCCACCACCAGATAGCATCCCTGACAGCCCATGGTTCCAGCCAGCTACTTCAGTCAGGTGCCTGGTACAGTTTATGCAACAGCTCCTCATGCTTCCTGATCATACAGATGAGTTACAGATGTTGCAAAGAATGTCTTCAATGTTTATGTTGTCAATAAATGGAATAGGATAGTAAAAGTAGTGGTGAAAGCTCACTCAATACAAATTTTACAATGTAAGTACAATAAGAAAACCATGGAAACTGGTTGTATGCTTGAGTAATTACCTTAGGTAATTGCACTCAAGCATGCAAGGATATATCAAATGTATACATACAAGACAGAACACTACTGGAATATGGGACTCCAAAAACTTAACTCATCATGTTACTGCACTTACTTGTGTACAGAGCATTCAGATGACATATAAACATTGTGATGACATGAAGGAAATTATTAATATTTGTTACTAATTTTATGTATATGCTTTACCTTGCAGGCTTCCTGTATTTTTGGGGCATAGTATTCTGTGTAACCACAACTGCAGTGTGGATATTTAAACCCGAGAGAGACGACTTAGAGGTAAGTTATATTTGTGGTAACTTCGTATACTGTACTGTTGTATGCAAGCAAGAGTACACCAGATTATACAATGTTGTATCTACAATAATTGACCTGCATTATAACTACCAAGGAAGGAAGAAGGGGCCAAGAATAGGTAGCAAGTGGGTATGTGTTTAGACTCTCCTCTCCTCTCCCAAAAGATAACATTTTAAGTTTGAAAATACGGCACATCAATAAAGAAGACATTTGGGTACTGCAATGATTCAACATGTTACAACACCTATGATCATGGAATAATGTCTGATGATGATGTGTGGGCTAATTAATTGCTGGTGGGTTAATTAATTTGAGGTAAACACACAAGTTCCAGCATGATCACATCACATGCCCTAAGCGAACTGATTCCCGACCTTGACAAGTAGAGTGATGGAGACATCAACAGTGCCTACTGGATACCTATGATGGTTACCAGGCCCAGCAGGCAAAGCAAAGATAACTGCCAAGAATGGGTATTGATGAATGCCTCTATTGAACTTTATGCAAAACAGTTGGCAGGCTGGGTGTAGGGAGCATCTCACCAATGCAGGAAACAACTCCCGATCTTGAGTTATATGATTTTTTCTGTAACAGGCCTATTGACTTTCATACAGCCTAAATGGATTCTTTTATTCAAGATATTCTGACATTTTCCTTCTAACCTCTTGGCTTTTCCTAAACCACCAGTAAGGTTCCACCCTGGTTATGGGACTGATGCCAGGTCCTCACTGATTTTCACCCCAAAATAGCAAGACATTTTCAGTCTGTCTTACCTTGTGATTGGGGATGGGAACCAAAGAAGATAATTTTCAAGCTTCCATCAAAGCAGCCTTAAAATTATAAAGCAAAACTAGCAGAAACAGCCTTTTCAGTAAACCCCCCCCCCCCCTCTCCAAACAATAGTTGGGCTCACTATTAGACCCAGTTGTCACTTTTCAAATAATTATTTTGAAGTTACCCGACTGGTGGCAGCTCCAGCTACACAACACTTCCAGGGAGCCAGCAACCTCATTTTCTGCTTTGTAGTTCACCTATATTGGTGTCTGGCACCACAGAGACCAATTCAGATAAGTGTATCCAAGTTTTCCTTGAGGCTTGGCTTTTGTTTTCTTCATGATGTGGTTACCAGTATTTTGAGTATGTGACAATTACATTTCCTTGGATCAGCTTAGTTTGGGGGTTGTCATCCCTGGCACTAACTATACAAAAATCTTAAGTACAAGTGTCATTTTTGTGGTCATTGGTGAGTGTTGTGGTAGTCACTTCTCTTAAGTTGGCTGCTGCCTAAGAGTTACCCTTTTCCTTTTTCACACTACCATTTTTCACACACACACTGAAAAGCAATATGTTATAGTTATATGCAACCAATGCAAACATGTAATCATGGTACACACAACTGGTTGGCATGAAAAAGTGCACTTGAAGCAATAAAGGAACAAATGCAAGTACAAGCCCTCATGCATGACAGAATCCAAAGGATAGCCAACACTTGGCTGAATGGTGATTCCCACAGGTCCTAGAGATGCCTAAAAGACCACATTGTAGTGCACCAAGTATGCTAATGACTGGGGTACCTGCTCTAGTCCCTTGGGCTGATGGTGCTGCCATCTTGAGGCAAGGGTGTGGAGATAACTAATGGTTGGACCTTGACAATTAATGTAAATAAATCAAACCAGTATATAATAAAATCAGTATTATAAATGTTGTCCAAGCAGTTGTTTATTTTTGTGCATTCTACATTTTTTGTGGTTTTCCCTTCAGTAATGTGGTTGATCTAGTATCCCCACTTTTCTGTCTGTATTGAAGGGCCCAGACTCTTGTCCTGGTTTGTGGGTAGGTGCTCCTGATTCATTGGAACCTGGTGTGGTACCTGGGTGTGGAGGACTAGATGGGAAGCTCAGGGAGTTGAGAATTCACACCAGAAATGTGCTTCTCATTACATTCAATGCTTGATTTTTCTGTTGCACAATTTTAGGTTACAAATGATATATCTTCCATTAGAAAATTTTACCCATAAGTATTAATTCACTTTTGATCAGGTTGAAGCTGATGAACCCCACTTTGGATTGCTTGGGACGTACAAAATTCTTGGTCGTATCTTGAAGATGAGGACAATGCAAGATTTGATTTTAGTATTGCTAACATGCAAGGTATGTGTGGAGATTTCACTGGAACTCTACCAGTTCTTGTACACATTTTTCCATATGAATATTTTTGGGATATACTGTGCTTTTATATGTTCTACTTTTTTATAATTGCACACTAGTTAAAATAAGCAGTACGGTAAATATTAAGTTAATATAAGCACCTTGTTATGCAAAGCTGCTTGTGCTTTCTAATATGTTTACCTAATTTTTGTAAATTTGGTTTACCTAATAATAATTTTGGTGTGTGCCAAATTTGAAATTCATAAGGTGCAAAATATTGGTTGGTGTATGCATGTTGTGCTCTAAGTTTAAAAAAAAAGACTTGTCATATAAACAATCTGAAACTCAAATTAATCATCAATATTATTTAAGCTCATTAATATTTCCTTTTGAATAAAATTCTTTTAATATATTGCATTCCTTTATAAATTTTATCTTCAGATTGGTTTTGCTGCTGCCGACTCACTGACAGCTCTGAAGCTGACAGAAAATGGTGTTCCCAAGGACCGGTTAGCACTACTGTCCATACCCCTGACCCCTGTCCAGGTGCTCCTTCCGTTTTATATCTCCCGCTACACTGCTGGACCCAAGCCTCTCAATCCATTCATGTTTGGCTATCCATTGAGGTTGGGAATAATTGTTTGTTTTTAATTCTTTTGTACCCAATATCTTCTTATAGACTTTAATATTCCAAATTTGAGATGGAAGATGATAGATTACAATGCTTTTCTTTAAAAACTGTAAAGTAACCTAGACTAACATTCATGCATCATAGAGCTAATGAGACTTAGAAACAAGTTCGTGATAAACCAACATAACTGAGCCAACTAGAGATAATACTCTTGACCTGATCTTTAAGGGTAATGAACATGTCAGGTACAACCCAATCTTTAAAGTACTCGGATCTCATCCTAATTGAAGTAAAGCCAAATGTTAATTTATACAATGTGTCCAAAACGTGTATACAATGGGATGGGGTGTTTAATAAATCTAATTTCAATAACTGGGATATTGACTGGGACAAAATAAACTATGAATAATTCAACATTCCCTGGGAAACTCCTGAGCTCTAAAATTTCACCACAAGACATAAGCAAATTAAATGCAGAAACATACAAAATCTACACTAAACATATCCTTGTGAGAAAGAAAAGAAATATTTAACCTAGAGACCACAGAACACTTAGCAGAAGGAAATATGATACGTAAATACTTAAGTGACCGTGATTGTCCCAGCAAAGAAAAGCAAACCTTACAGAGAAATCACAAAGACAAAGCAAAGGCTCATGCCATAATGAAGATATACAAAAAATAACAGAAAACCCACAGAAGAAATAGAAAAAACTAGATGTTCATATTTACATATACAAAGAGCAAATCAAAAAGCTCTGCAAGCACACAAGGCCCCTTACTGACAAGTGGAGGTGCATACTGATAACGATAAAAATATCCTGAAAGAACATGAATCTGTTTAGTAATTACAATGTACACCATGAAAATAGAAGTGCTTGAAAGCTTTCTTGGTGACCCCCCCCTATGGTATTTCCCCAAGCTACACTGGTGTACCTCTCAAACCTTCAGTACTGCAGCAGGCTCTGTTAGTGCACAGATACCTCCCAGGAACATGTACCAGAATCTGAGCCACTCAATAGAGGGAAAGGGTAGTCTGAGGTCTAGGATCACCACAGCAACCATGTTTATTTATTTATTTATTTATTTATTATTTATTTATTTATTTATTTATGCATATACAAGAATGTACATAAGGAATGTGAGGATACAAATATGGTAATTACAGTCTTGTAAAGCCACTAGCACGCGCAGCGTTTCGGGCAGGTCCTTAATCTAAGAAAATTTTAAGGAGGTAAATACTTGCAAAATTATAGACAAAAAATGATAACAGATTACATGAAATGAAAAAAAGATGAGAGAAAATTGTAGGTACAGTATATTAAAGCACATAGGTAGCTAAGATTGATTGCAATGACAGCTTGAATGGTAGTTGACAAAAAAATTGGTAGGCATAATACAGCAGAAACAATATAAGATTGGTTGCAATGACAGCTTGAATGGTAGTTGACAAAAATTGGTAGTCACAATACAGCATATGGCTAGCACATAAAAGAAGACAGCAATGAACACAATGATAAGGTTGTTTGAAATTACATAAAAATTAGGAGATTGGGTAACACTAGGTACAGAGCAAATTTAAAGCTCAGTGTAGGAAACTAAGAAGATGAAGTTAGGTACTTTTTGGTTTTGCTTTTAAATAAGGCAAAAGTTTTACAGTTTTTCAATTCACTAGGGAGTGAGTTCCATAAACTAGGTCCCTTAATTTGCATAGAGTGTTTACACAGATTAAGTTTGACCCTGGGGATATCAAAGAGATATTTATTTCTGGTGTGGTGATAATGGGTCCTATTACATCTGTCCAGGGAGAGTTTCAGAGCATGGTTTGCATTTAAGAACAGGGTTTTGTAAATGTAGTTGACACAAGAGAATGTGTGGAGGGAGTTAATATTTAGCAAGTTTAGGGATTTAAACAAGGGAGCTGAGTGTTGTCTGAAAGCTGAGTTAGTTATCATTCTGATAGCAGATTTTTGCTGTGTGATGATGGGCTTAAGGTGGTTTGCAGTGGTAGACCCCCATGCACAGATACCATAATTAAGATAGGGGTAAATTAGTGCATAATATAGTGAGAGGAGAGCAGATGATGTTAATGTTGTCTATCTGTAGCTGAATTGCATTTGATGATTTGCTTCCAAATAAGATGTAGTAAGTCTTTTCGATGTTTAATGTTAGTTTGTTCGTTGACATCCATAAGTGGACTTTTTTTAATTCATTATTCACAACATTATTTAGTGTATGTGGGTTGAGGTTTGAATAGATAAGAGTAGTATCGTCAGCAAACAGTATAGGTTTGTATTTGTTATATAACAGTATTTGGTATACAAGTCTCTCTCTTGGCTGGTAGTACTTTATGCAGATCCAGCATGTCCTGTGGAGTCTTCCTCCAACAGATTGATTAGGACTGACCTGTTGAACAACATGCCCGTGGCTAATACATGTGCTCAGGGTTTTGAGGCATCCATCAGGGTGTTGACCTCTTGCTTCTTATTGGATGTTTCACATTTTTGCTGCACCTGTGTAGCTCTTGAGCGCTTGGCATGCAGCTGATGCCCCCGCTCTCCTGCCATCATCTGCAGAGGATAAGCCCTTTACACCGTTTCTCTTGTTTGTTTTCCTCCCAGACATCATTAGTGATGAGCCCCAGGGAGTTATTGCAGTAATCTTCTAAGAAATAAAGCATTGAATGTAATGAAACATGAATTTCTGTTAGGCCCCTCAGTAGCTGCCCTGTACTCTTTGCTGTGGGTATGTTGGGGTTGAGTGAGGTGGGTGCTAGTCAGGACCGCAGGTAACCTATTTGGTTTTAATAAATTTTGAGTAGATCCACAATCTTCCCCTCACCTTGTGGAGAGCACGAGATTCTGGTCTTGGCTCCTGGTGTAATTCCTAGGGTTTGGCTGTACCGATGCATAAGAACCAGGAAAGGGTGTTGCATTACATTCTTTGCTTGACTTGACTTTGAGACATAACTAGATAGTTTTCAAGTGTTCATTGACTAATGGATTAATGTAAATCCATTGGAAGGAGAACACATGTATTTAGTAAATTGATCTGTAAATTGGTCTAGCCCAACCAAAATTTTTTGCTGAATCTTAATATAACCCTAAGAGCATGTTGTAAATACTATGCAGCCTACAGTTTTCCATCCTGATTTGTGGATGATCAGTAAATTAAACTAGTACCCATCTGTCTTGCTTATTATGATGTTTGTTTTCCAGGTATTTGTAAACTGCATGTTTGTGGGTGTGATGGCTTTCTTTGCCCGCATTAGCGACTCCAGTGTTGGCGGGACTTACATGACCCTCCTCAATACTTTCACCAATCTTGGTGGTAACTGGCCAGCCTGGATTGCACTGCGTTATGTCTCGGAACTAACATGGAAGTCCTGTTTGGGAGTGATGACCGCATTCTCTTGCAATAGCAAACAGGAAGAACAGGTTGGTTAATGTTTGTATTTCAGGATAGTAGTTTTTGCTTGAAACCTTTAATTGCATTTTTCTTTAGAGGCATATTTGTACATTCATTTCAGTATATGTTTACCAGATTGCTTATATTGTAACAGTTGTTAAGATACTACATGGGGATACCATTCTGGAGGTATTAAAAGTTGATATTTATAGATTTTGATTGAAATTTGTATTGCAGAAAATGTCGCAATGTGGCTGGAAACAAATATTCCAACCCACATATGCAATATAAAATGAGATGTCGTTTTGGTCCATCCTGGACCCTCAAGTTAAGATTGAGCAGTACAGGGAGAAGAAATTATGACTGCTTAATCTTAACTTCAATAAAGGTTCTAATGGACCAAAATGTCATTTATCACTTATTTCATTTCACATGTTGGTAACATTATTTGAATTATATTGATTGTCGAGAATCTCAATTTATGTGTGTAAAAGATAGGAAAGGATGCTAAGTTTTTATACTATACAGTATATACAAAAAACTGTATCTTGCAACAAGAGAATGGTAGGAAAGATCCTAGTAATCATCCTGTTATTTTTGTTGCATTGTTATTCTCTTTGATAACCGTTGCAGTTTTTGTGGAATGAGACACTAGCTTGAAATTATATTTTTCAGATGTGTGAGGCTGCAGGAGGCACATGTACCATCAACATTGATGGCTATTATGTAGAGAGTGTATTACTTCTGGTATTTGGTCTCCTGTGGATGTACTGGGGGATCTCCACCATCAAGAGATTACAGAATCTGCCAGTATCGGCTTGGGCAGTATCTCGTAGAAACTGCTGATTAATGTCAATTTTATTTGGATTAATTGTGATGGACTTTTTAAGATGATAACACTTGTTGTATCATGTTATAATGGTTCTGTTATTGTAGATTTACAATCACTACTGTGGTGCAATAGACCTATAATTACCGACATGAGTGTTCCTCTGTATTTCTGGTCGTATTATTATTTTGCAGACTCCTGATACATTATTGTATAAATAGAACATTTTGTTGTCTTTATTATCAGTGGAGGAATTTTATTGATTATAAATATAAAAGTTTATACTTTAGTAAAGCTGAACATATATAAATTTTTAGTTGTAATTCATCTCTGTTATTGATTTATTGCAATGTATCCTCCATAATATAACTAAAAGAACTCTAGATTAAATTTAAGCAATAATATTCCTTACTTAGGAATGTGGAAGCAAATTTCTTTTTACATAACAAATTAGATCCTAGGGTTAGGTCTCTATTCTAGAGCGCTACTCATATACATGTATGTACAGTATATGTTGTACCTAATAGCCAGAATGCATTACTTGGCCTAGTATGCAAGGCCCAATTTGCTTAACAAGCCAAGTTTTCCTGAAATAATATATTTTTCTAAATTTGTTCTCATGGCGTGATAAAGCTTCACATTTTTTTTAGTTAAAACTAACGTACTGACCAAACCTAACATTAGTCAGTAATTCACAGTCTTAATATTTTTATATTATTATATTAATTCAAATAAACCAATTTAAATTTTTTTAAATTAAAAATTCTGTCTGGCAAATTGGCCCTTGCATACTAGGCCAAGTAGTGCATTGTGGCTATTAGATAGGTAGATATAAACATAAGCGGGTATGACACATGTGTATATATATACAGTGTGTGCGTGTATTTTATATAATATATATATATAATAAAAATGTGTGTCGTACCTAATACACATATCTGCTTATGTTTATATCTAGGTATCTAATAGCCAGAGTGCACTACTTGGCCTGGTATGCAAGACCCAACTTGCCTAACAGGCAGTGTGATTTTTATTATTTCCAAACTTTTTTCAAATTGGTTTATTTGAATTAATATTTATATTAAGAATATGAATTACTGAGTTATGTTATGATAAGTTTATATATATATTTTATATTATATAAATATTTATTTATTTATTTATTTTAGCTCTAGTTTTAAAATGCCAGTTTCAATAATTAGATATCTTTTATACTACAGTATATGATACAAAATTCATCATTGCAGATTATTTAAAGTGATGGTACACTGTGATTTAAGGAATTGGGCGGTGGCTTAAATGTTTGGGGGAACTTTAAATAAATCTATTGTATTAAACTTTTAAGGGACATTATTCCAATTAGAGTAGCAAAACTGATTCACAACTTAGTCTAAGAGTTGTGAAGAGTCTAAAAGGGAGCTGGTCGGCTGAGCGGACAGCACGCTGGACTTGTGATCCTGTGGTCCTGGGTTCGATCCCAGGCGCCGGCGAGAAACATTGGGCAGAGTTTCTTTCACCCTATGCCCCTGTTACCTAGCAGTAAAATAGGTACCTGGGTGTTAGTCAGCTGTCACGGGCTGCTTCCTGGGGGTGGAGGCCTGGTCGAGGACCGGACCGCGGGGACACTAAAAAGCCCCGAAATCTAATCAAGATAACCTCAAGAAGAAGAGTGAAATGACTGTCCTTAAAATATTTGTATGGGTACAGTGCTCGACAGGCTCAGTGGCTACTCCAAATAAAACATTAACCAAGCATAGTCAGTGAGAAGTACTTTAATGAATTAGTAGCAAGGTATAAAAATTTAATCATATCTATCCAAATATCCTGCCAGCCAATTTTAATTTGGCTATATAGATATACAGGTATTGCAAATATTGGTTCCATTGACCCCCTATATTTATGCTGGGGTAAGTTGTCTGAGATACCATGTAGATTTTTTTATATTTTATAGGAAAAATAGATGTTCCCAAACCAAAACTGCTTAAATATGAAATATATGCACTATTGAAACACTGGCACAGTGCACTGTAAAACAGTACAGAGTAAATTAGTTTGATTTAAAGATGTTTTGATGGAATTGGTACCACACTCATTGATAAATAATTTACACAACACAGAGGCAACCTAATCTGGTTCATTAAGAGAATAAGAAAAAGGCACACACAGGTATGTATGGTGGGAATGAATAAGTGGGCAGCTATGGAAAGAGGCATGTAAGTGGACAGGCAGGGGAGTGAACAAATATGTAGGCAGAAGGAAGAACATAAATGCCCTGTCATGTGAGGAAGGTGAGCTAGTAAATGCTCAGTATGGAATGATATCCAACACACATCTATCATGGGCATTACTCATCTATTACGTATGTGCTGAATGCCCAACAACTCTTACCATCTGTGGTGCAGATACAGACCTTTTTCAAATTGTGCATGCCTCACTAGTGCTATCTAAACTTGACTATGGTTGCCCTGAATATTTGTTGATTTCAACCTTATCTTTTCGTCATCTTGAAGCTTTGCATCAGAATGGTTTATGCCACAACTCGGGAGCATTTTGTTCTTCCTCAACCCAGTTGCCTATATGTGGAAACTGGTGTTTGTTCAATACAAGGCTGCCATAATTGGCATTTCCTTCAATACTCTTCATGATTCCGTGTTCTTTCACATTTCTCCCACACATGAACCAGTGTGCTTCAGAGAAGGACACTTTGTTCAATGCAAAGCTGCTTTTTGCAGTTTTTGTTTTAATGGCCTTGCCTTACCTTGGCTCTTGCCTTACCCCAGTGGAAAGTCCTGATTATTACATTTTGTAAATGTGTAAAACCTCGCTAGGTGAATGAAAATGCCACAAAATAGGATGTCCAGATTTATGTATGAAAAGCACTGAACGTTGTTGAAGAAAATGTAGACAATTCAATAAACGTGGAATGCATGGTCTTGGAACAGATATAAAAGCTGTACACACTCCATGATTAGGCCTACTAATTGCTGTAATACTACAGCAACTACCAATACTAGAACAATAAATCAAATACAGTACCCCATGCAACCTTTAAATGAGCTAAGGTAACAATAGCGCATAAAAGCCCATTTTATGAGCCCATAAAAAACTTAAAAATAATTTGATGTTCTTGCTTACATACAAGGCCTTAAAACAATATAAAAAGCAAAGTTTGTTTAATAAATGGTCGCATTACAGGCTAATGCAATCTTTGAAACATTCACAGACCCCATACTGGAGATTACACGGACAGTGAAGTTTGTATTCCGAATTACAATATCTATAGATGTGATAGCATAGATAGGTCACATGGAGGAGTAGATCTATATTTTGAAGATGTGCACAAAATTTGTATGATTATCAACTGATGTGACAAGCTGGAGATGTTTGCTGGCAGGGTGGCCATTGTGGCTTATCAGTGGTCAGCTCGGCCTTGGTTTACTTTCTTACCTTCAGGTTTATTGTTAGAAACCTGCACTCCTCTAAATCCCTGCATTTCATATTAAAGCAACCAGGTAAATAGATCCTTATGTACATTTTCTTTAAACACTAACAACACTAACGGCCCCTCTAATCATGTTAGAGAGGCCTTGAAGTCAGTGGGCCCAGAGTAGGACTATGAGCCTAAAATACTAAGTTTTCCATGCCCATATTATGCAGTTTGGTGTGATTTGAATAAACTGTATACACATTAATTAAAATTTACACAGCACATGGTACAGCTTTCTTCATAGGTGGTTGTCTGGTCACAGTAATGTATTAGTGTTATCACAAGAACCCACATCAGTGGTTTTTCTGACATTGGGAAGTGGCTCGTATATGAGCCTTGTGGCACAAATAGGTTAAAGAAATACATCTAATTTTGTTATTTACAAGTTCAAAATTTCTAAAATTTTGCAGAGAAAAGTTTTAATGATTTATCCATCACATGGATTTTGTACTGAAATGTTTAGAAAAGAAAAAATATTTGATGTAAGCTTTTATTTTAGTGGTGGTGTCTATGAATACCTTAAGGTGCTATACATTATATGTATATGTAATGTATACTATCTTATAATTGTAGAGAAATTATATTAAGCACACAATATAAAGCATGACTGAGGTATAAATGTAATTTATTTTCATACTATTATACCATTCCAAGTTGTAAACCCATGTCTAGGTGTGATTCATGGGTTTGAATGAGCCTTCCCACATGCACACATCAGAAGGAAAAACACCACCATTGCATGTAATGTAATGCCTTTGTCTAACATACTCTGTGGCTCCCTAGAGCTAGCTCGCTGAGGTAGCTAGCCACATATCAGCCACTGCCTGATAAGCCTCCTGTAATGAGATAGACACAGCTAAGACAACAATCCAGTGAATGTTACCCTCTCAGAGTGGAAGGTGTCACGCACCCAAGAGGTAGCATGACAAAGAATGACTGTCAGCTTTTAGGAAAGCCGACAGTCGCCCATCACACTCACAAGTAGTGAGTGTTGGCTTGGCAGTTTGAGCCATATTGCATAACACTTGAGACCTGCAGGGCGTACTGGGGCCTGAAGGTAATGACCAAGTATGACACCCAGGCACTAAAGGTGCTTGCTGAAAGAAATGATGCTGGATGTGGTTGCAAAGGAAGTCAATGGCAGGCAGTATAAATAAGCATGTACACATTAGTACATCCTACAACAACAAACCCCTGAAGGCTTCTAGCCACAGTGCATTGCAGAGGTGTTGAAGACCTGTGACCAGGTACCAAATCAGTCAGTCTTTCATAGCATGAGCAATGCCAGAGAAGGGCAGTCCTAAACACATGCAGCTCAAGATGAAATCAAGTCAATGCTACAAGTGGGGCTTGTAAACACACTCATGAAGCAAATACTACTTTTAAACATAAGCAAATGGCCCCCCCCCCCTCCACACAGGACAAAAGTCCAAACGATGGTCCACACTTTTCTTATAAAGGACTGGGACCCACTAAAGCCGACGACTAGTATGTCTACACTCTGGAACAGTGACAAGACTGAGGTCTGATAACATGGCAATTGTGAGTTCCTGGTTGCAGCACCACCAGGAGTCATTTGCTGCTTTAGTTCCTTTCTCTGATCCCTGCAGTTGTCTGTATAACTTCGCTTACCCTCTGACTACTGACAACCTAACGTTTAGCGAGGTCGTCAGTATAACGGCATAACATAACCAAGTAAATATCATGGCATGCATAGACACGATAAAGCTTTTAAATTATTGGGACCGTCTCGGCTCAAAGTGCAAAGTTTCAGCAACTCTGCAAAGGACACAAGAAAAGTATCACAATATATTCATGGATGATATGGGAAAGCCAGGTCCCAAATTTGCACAGTAGAATAATATACTGGGGTGATTGATATGGTAGGAAATGCAGAAGAGCCAATGAAGAGTAGGAATGCCATGGCACAATCAGAGAATGCTGTTTGAACATCAAAGGTCCACTGCTGTTCAGTATTATCCCAGAAAGCATAAGGAATATTACCAGAACAAAAATGGATTTCTTAAAAAAAAATCGACTTTCCTGCAAGAAGTGACAGACCAAATGGGTTATTGTGAATATATATACGCCTGCTGGCCTTTTTGAGCAACAGTTGTATCAAGCAATCATAAATCAAGCCTGGCCCAAGCCAGGTTTGGGGAATGGAACTCCCAAAAACCCACTTCACGTAAGATGAAGGTGAGTGATCATAGTAATCCCCTGCTCCTTGTGCCCCTTTGAGAGAGGGCCAGATTCTGGCTCTGGTCCCAAGTAGGCTACTAAGGACTCCTAAGGCTGATGTTACTCGTGTCTGGAGCTACCTCAGTGAGCCAGTTTTAGGGAGCCACCGTTTGCCCTTTTCAGACAATCAAATTGTTTAAACTTTTCTTTGGCAGTCCCTCGTTCGTAAATATTGTATTGTACATTTATGATGGGGTCTTCCGCACACAATAATGGTAGGATTAACACTTGCGATGTTTATATGATGCATGTTTGTTGCTCATGTGTGTATGTGTTTCAACCATTGTTCTAATTTAGATTACAACCAATTCAGTGGAAAATATGCTCACTCATTAAAAAGCCTTATATAGAGAAAAGTTATTTTTTTTATATCTAGTTCAGAATATTATATTTTCCTAGATTTCTCGCATACAGTATTATTGTACCTTCATTGACAATAATGTTTTCCCATTTCATATATTAGTATCATAATAAGTATTAATTAAGGAAAACTTGCATAATTAACATTTTGCAAAAAAATAAAAAAAAAATATTCTGATCACTTGTTTTACATCCCTGTTTTTGCTCAGGTGTTTATTTTATGTTTATATGAGAAGTTTGTAGTACTGTAATGAGTGGCTTGTGAGTCTGCCTCGCCTACTTTCTCAAGATGTATGAACCAAGTCAGCAGTGCTGATGTTAACAGTTTTCAGTGAAACGTTTTATGTCAAAGATAAATATATATTATATCGTATCAGAAGCATATCTTAAAGTTAGGTTTTCTGTTTACTGTACTTGATTCAATTTACTGAACTTAATATTTTACTGTACTCTTAAGTTGACTCTTAACGCAATACAATACCTTGCTTCCTCGTTCATTTGTTGATCACATTTCTTTTACTCGAGTGAAAAAGGCTTGAGACATTTTAGATGGAGTTTAACCTTCATTAAGCTGAATTGTTTTAAAAGGGGAAATATTTTGAGCTGCAGAAAGTAAAGGTCCTCAGTTGCTAAAGTCATTATCAGATTGAAAATTTAGTTAGGTACTGGGATGCATGAGAGTCAAAATAATATAAGCAGAACATGGCTTTAGTTGCCATGGAAGTGTTACTGTGAGAAAAGCATATGAGGTGTCCTTTCATTTATGATATTTAGTTAAATATACACACACAGTAAAGGTCCACTTAGTAAAGTTACATATACGAATCACTCAATCATCTGCTTCAACTCAGGACTATATATAAGAACTGACGGAACAGCCACCCGATCGCACCCGTGGAATATGATACGTATATTTGTTTCTCTTGTGGTGTTCATGAGTTCTGGTGTGTTTACTGTGCCTGAGTTCTGTTTTCGGGGGCCTGGGTGATTTTTTGTACTCGGGGCCTGGGTGATGTGTTTGTATGGAGGACAGGTGTTCTCGGGACCAGGTGTTCTCGGGATGGGTGTTTAGTATGGCCGAGGACAGGTGTTCTCGGGGCCTGGGTGACGTGTTTAGTATGGCCGAGGACAGGTGTTCTCAGGACCTGGGTGACGTGTTTAGTATGGCCGAGGACAGGTGTTCTCGGGACCTGGGTGACGTGTTTAGTATGGCCGAGGACAGGTGTTCTCGGGACCTGGGTGACGTGTTTAGTATGGCCGAGGACAGGTGTTCTCGGGACCTGGGTGACGTGTTTAGTATGGCCGAGGACAGGTGTTTTAGGAGCCTGGGTGATGTGTTTACCATGACCGAGGACAGCAGTCATGAATATTCCCAGAGTGAGCCGCTAGGTAACGGCACGGGGCTCTGAATGCTTTCTCTTGCTGCATTGATGTCTCCCAGGGGGCGCTGATCTTAACTCACCACTCATAAAACTGCATATAACGCCAAATTAAAAAATACTTTATCTTCTTTAACATACAGTATTCATTTGAATGAAGAGCCTCTTATTCCAACATACATAATAAACCGTCCTGGTGTATAATGTTACTATCGCCGCTTGGCAGCGAGGTATATATATATAGAGAGAGAGAGAGCCAGGGTTGTCGTACGGCAGGGTTGTGGGGCCGGGCCAGCGGGCCAGTGTGAGGGTCACAGTGAAGGCGGGCACACCTTGGCACCACACGCACACGCTCGCGCACACGCACGCACGCACGCACTACAGACTTTGTCAACACTCCTGTAGACCAACAATTAAGAAGGTAAGACAAGCAGCGGGCTGAGAGCACGTCAATTATGTAGCAAATGACTGTTATTGCACAATATTGGTCACTTGGGGCTACATATTCTTAACTTTTAAGTATTAACATTATATATATATATATATATATATATATATATATATATATATATATATATATATATATATATATATATATATATATATATATAACTAACCGTTATTTTGCATATTTTGACGTTTGAAGTTAGGACTACCTAGTTAGTTAATGCCAGGCACCACATGGGCACCAGGCTAACTAACGCCAGGCACCACATGGGCACCAGGCTAACTAACGCCAGGCACCACATGGGCATCAGGCTAACTAACGCCAGGCACCACATGGGCACCAGGCTAACTAACGCCAGGCACCACATGGGCACCAGGCTAACTAACGCCAGGCACCACATGGGCACCAGGCTAACTAACGCCAGGCACCACATGGGCACCAGGCTAACTAACGCCAGGCACCACATGGGCACCAGGCTAACTAACGCCAGGCACCACATGGGCACCAGGCTAACTAACGCCAGGCACCACATGGGCACCAGGCTAACTAACGCCAGGCACCACATGGGCACCAGGCTAACTAACGCCAGGCACCACATGGGCACCAGGCTAACTAACGCCAGGCACCACATGGGCACCAGGCTAACTAACGCCAGGCACCACATGGGCACCAGGCTAACTAACGCCAGGCACCACATGGGCACCAGGCTAACAGGCTACCAGGCTAACTAACGCCAGGCACCACATGGGCACCACTATGCCAGGCACCAGGGCACCAGGCTAACTAACGCCAGGCACCACATGGGCATCAGGCTAACTAACGCCAGGCACCACATGGGCATCAGGCTAATTAGCGCCAGGCACCACATGGGCACCAGGCTAACTAACGCCAGGCACCACATGGGCATCAGGCTAACTAACGCCAGGCACCACATGGACACCAGGCTAACTAACCCCAGACACAAGACGTGGGAAGCCTCACCAGTCCGGCTGCACCAGGCTACTTGAGATATACATACCCAGTTACATATTCATAGTGCCCCGTGAAGGGAAGATGAGCGTATTAATTAATGGTGGCCACCAGGTGTGGCAACGCTCCGTGGACTGACTCCACCAGATGAAGTTTCTACCACTCTGGGTCCTTGTCCTTAACACCTTGTCCCCGTGTACCATAGTCACTGTTGTGCTGCTGTTGCTCAGACAACAGTTGCTGCACTGTTGTTTAGGTCACCTTCATAATCTAAGCGGGGCCTAACCAACGCAAGATAAAGCTGAGGAGTAACATTAGAGGTTTCATTGCTAATGTTTTTCTAAATAAATCAGTCCTATTTGTTTTATTCCATTCATTTATGCATTGATTTTTTGGCTTAAGTTTCTTACTAAGGTTTCGTAGTACAGTTGGCTACATTCTCAAGTTCAAGTATGTTTATTGAGAAAAGAAAAAATACATCTCAAATGGATAGAGTAGCTTAGGCTATTTCTACCCCCTCTTGGTTACATTCTCGACTCCCAAGTAGGGATCTCGGGTTCGATTCCTGATTGGGACAGAAATGGTTGGGCACGATTCTTTCCACCTCATGCCTTTGCTCACCTAGTAGTAAATTGGTACCCCGGAAGTTAGGCAACTGTTGAGGGTCATATCCTGTTGAGGATCAGTAGCACGACCTGTGTGGACCTCCATGCAAGCCTCAAGTATATATTTATAGTTGACCAGACCACACACTATAAGGTGAAGGGACGACGACGTTTGGGTCCGTCCTGGACCATTCTCAAGTCGATTGGAATCGACTTGAGAATGGTCCAGGACGGACCGAAACGTCGTCGTCCCTTCACCTTCTAGTGTGTGGTCTGGTCAACTTACTTTAGCCACGTTATTGTGACTCATCGCCTGTATATATTTATACATAGGCTTCCCACTCATGACAAAGCGAATTAATCGCGAATCTTATAGTGTTCTCGTATTCCAAACTTCGCGCTTTCAACATTTTGCAGGTGATTTATGGGAACTCTATTATTATTACCTAAGCTATAATTACTCTATTGTTTTAATTATAGGTAATAATATAGGGATTTTAAAATTACTTTATATTTTTCAAAATTAAACTGCATGATTTTGCATCTGCTAATCTTTCGTTCGTGTTGAAAGCCTATGTAGATCTTCTCGAAGCGATTTTATGTCCCGAATTTATTTCCAGCTCTGTTTTTGTATCTTCAGCAAATTTACAAATGTTGATTGTTGTTGTTGTTTAAGATTCAGCTACTTGGAACAAAACGTTCCAAGTAGCACGGGCTATGGTGAGCCCGTAGAGGACTTACCAGGAACAGGAGCGGGGCTGTAACTGCAAAAAAATGTTGGTGTTTAATCGTTTATATATATGATAAATAACAGGTTCCAGAACAGAGACCTGGTACACCTCACTTATAATAGTTTCGCACACGGACTCCATCTATGCTAACTCTCCGCTTTTTACGTGATAACCAAGCCTAGCTCCAACTTAGGATAACTCTTCCAATATCGTGAGCATCCAACTTTTTGATGTCTCTTATGAGGTATAGTATCAAAAGTCTTTCGAAAACCAAGATATAGAATGTCGCAATCCTTCCAACTATCAACTCTTTGAAATATGCTGGAAAAGTTTGAAGTAAATCTGCATCTCCAGGATGCAACCCCACAACAATGTAAGGTTGTGGGGTTGGGTGTGTTTCCCCATGTAAATCAGGAGAAAGCACAAAGCCATTACGACTATATAACGCTTGGAAGGGACAAACATCACAAGCTGATTACCTCCAGGGTACCTAATTACCACTAGGTTAACAGGGGCATTAGGTGATAGCGAACGTGTCCAATCACTCTGTCCAACCCGGGATTCGAACCCGAAATTCTCGATTGTCAGTCGAGAACGAGTCTGAGAACAGCAGTACCGGAAAAGCGTACATTTTAATTATTTTTGCCTGTTAGATGGTAAAGTTGAGTTGTTCGTGAAGAGGTGCACTGAGGACCACGCGTGAGGCTTCGCTAGCTACCAGCCTCATTATTAATTGTTAAGTTGGTCCCTGGTATAAGTCTTGCTAATATTAAGGGAAAGTCTGGTAGCCACAAACTATTGGTGAAGTTTTCCTAGTTTTGTATTTAACGTGTTGTTAAGAATATCGTAGTCTTTACCTGCGATATATAAGTTGTGTCGTTTGCAAAACGTATGATTTTTAACCTCTGTCGAAACTGTTCTAATTCTTAATATGTTGAGGTTGCTGAGTAGTGCTGCATGACTCACACAGTCTATCAAGATCTACAAAGATAACTATGGCGGTTTCGTTGACCTGTAGTCGATTTTGAGAGTTGTACTCCCCAAGCCTGGCCTGGGGCCAGAATTTCTTGCAGAGGCCCGCAGGCCAACATGTCCACAACAACTCAGTTGAACCGACACTTCCTGCAGGAATTTGTCCAATGGCCTCTTGAAAACATTAACTTTTGTTCCCGCAATATTTCATATATTTGATGGAAGAAGGTGTGTGGGAAACTGAAAATATAATTTTAGTGATGCTGAAGTTCATTATGTATTTTGTATACGAGTGAATAATTAACTACCTCTGCCGGTCTACTACCACATCAACTACTATTGTTACTACTGCTACGATTACTTCTAATACCGCTACTAATATTAATAATGCTACTTATACTGAAACAACAACAAATATCATTTATAGGAATAATCAAAATCCATTGTTGGTAGTATAAAATCCTGTCAGCAAATATATGATATGTTGCTGTAACAAAGGTAGAAACATTATAGCAATAGTTGACAAGTTCCTGCAGGCTGTTCCGGTTCATCGCGGCTGTTGTGGTTAGTGTTGATTGAGAGCTGCGAGCAGCACTAACCTCATGGTTGATCAGACGACCACCAGAGAAGTCTGACCTCAGGCCAGCTGCAGGGGGCAGCGCTCTCAAAACCTCATGTGACGGTTGTTGCTACTTCTACCACTATTTCTACTACTTCTGCTGTTGCTACTACTTTATTTGTAAGTGATTTATACAACTCATTACAGTTGTAGCTGAAGTGGACACGTGCACAGCCATATAAGACTTACAACTTACAGTTAGAGCGGTTACACATATTGTGGCAAAATATCTATATAAAATACAATGTCTGTCTGTGTCCGAAGTATGAGGCCAGATGCTTCGGGCTAGCCTCACCCAACTTTGCAGATTGATACATGTGGAGTGTGTGAATATCATAGGCCAGTCGGGATCGACACGAGTGCCATGTTTTAAGAAATATCGGCATCTGTGGTGTTCGGTTGTAGCTTTGTAAGGCTTCAGTGTCGATTTCACTGCTCACTTTACCCTAGAAATTAGTGTTATTTGCAAATTTGATGATGTGGTTTGTAATATTCTCATCTATTATATATGGCAAAAACGGTTGGCCCCAAGATGGGACCTTGCGGCACTCCACTCACCACATTTATCGAGTCAAATTCATTTCCGTTTAGGACAATCTTTTTTTTAAACCGGGTTTTCATTCTAGATTTAGAGAAGTCCATGTGCACTACACCTACTGTAAGACTGGTTGAATAGCTAGTTACCAATTTCAAAAGTTAGTTTTGTAAAAATAAATCTATCCTATATTTCCTATGTTGTGTAGATTTACAAGAGTGTGCGCTGTTAGTGTGAATGTTGCCCTCCTTTGGAACTGTCTCAATGTGCATGGTACTGGTGTGTCCTTGTGGTGGGTGGGTGGGGGACGTGGGTGGGGTGGGTGGGTGGGGGACGTGTGTCCTAGTGGTGGGTGGGTGGGGGACGTGTGTCCTGGTGGTGGGTGGGTGGGGGACGTGTGTCCTAGTGGTGGGTGGGTGGGGGACGTGTGTCCTAGTGGTGGGTGGGTGGGGGACGTGTCTCTTGGAGGTGACCTGTACATAGGTCACCAACTTGGCCTCCCTCATTCCCACCCTTCCACCGCCTCTCGTTCCCTCCAACCT